TTCCGTCTAACAGAAAATGTTTCATATGTAACCCATGGGAGAAATTACAAAACCGCCTATGGAACCGACCCGTTCCTCGGGACTTAAACCTGGATCGAACTCGGTGAATTGAGTACTAAGACGGTGTATTAAGACTGTGCTATACATGGAACTAATATGCCAAAAAAATATATTATTTTCTGTGTTGATTGCATTATAATGCATTTTAAATGCACAGAAATAGTATTAAAATTTGTTTAGTGACTTTGATTAGTGATGAATGGTTCAGTATATTTTGGTGTATTTATGGAGTGGGAAGTAAAGTCTTTTAACGCACGCGTTTACAATATGGCGCGCTAGCGTTTTTGAATAATTTTTCAGTGCAGTGGCCTTGTGTGTCTTCTGAGATGTTGCGTCATCCAACTGACATTGTCTGAGCTTGTGTTAAAAAATGCCAATTCAAATTGAATACATTTATCCATTCCTGCCTTAAAAAAATATTTGTACAAGTGGCAAGTTACCAATCGATTCGAATTCTTATTTTTTCCCTTTGAAATGTAATTATCTATGAATGTATTGGGTTGGCAAGAAATTAATTTCAGTTTGTACAAATAGAGAGCGTTATGTTCTTTGTTATTCTTCTGTCAATCTTACATTTTTTTTTTCTTTTGAGATTTGGCTACTGACTTTTAGGTTGGTATAGAAACATATTACCTGTATTTGTGTTTAAAACTGTTAGTTTAAGGTCAATTTTAACTTGGGGAGCAAAAATAAACGGCTGAGGCTCACGAACAGCTATATGAAGATAATGGCGTTTGCTTAACAGGACGCGTGTGTCAGAATTGGTTTAAAATATTTAGTTCTGTAGATTTTTCAGCTGAAGATAACCAACGTTCTGGCTGAAATTCTGAAGTTGATGATGGCAAAGCCATATAATTGAATCGAATTGAATCGAATCGTCATATAACTCCGTGAGAGACTGCAAATAATTTAAATGCATCACACGCAACAATTGAAAATCACATTAGATGCCCTTGAAGTCGTTAAAATGCTCGATATTAGGGTTGCGCATGAACTAAAAGAAACTAACAACAATGAGACAATATTTGCGATGCGCATAAGTAGTAAAATCAACCCCCTTTTTAAACGAATCATTAAGGATGAAAACTGGATCTACAATAACATTAACAGAAAAATATCATGGTTCAAGCATGATGAATCACCACAAATCATATTTAAAGCTAAATCTCTTAAAATAAAAGTCGTGCTGTCAGTCTGGTGGGATTACAAAAGTGTTGTGTATTTTGAGCTGCTTCTATGCAACCACACAATCAACTCAGATGTTTAATGCCAACAACTTACGGAACTGGATGAAACAATCAAAGAGAAAAGGCCAGAATTGGAAAATCACTAAAGAATCGTATTTCACCATCAAATGCAAGGCCTCGCACATGTTTAGCAACACGTGCGAAATTATTGAAGCTTGATTGGGAAGTGATTCGTAGATGGTAAAAATTTCAGTAATAACGATGACCTCAAATCGCGCTTGGTTGAGTTTTTTGCTGATAAAAACCAGAAGTTCTAAGAGCGTGGAATCTTGAAGTTACTGGAAAGATGATAAAAGGTCATCAAATACAGTGGAAGATATTTCATTGATTAAAATTTCTTTTTATATAGAAAAAATGAGCTCATTTCACACTAAAAACCGAAATTACATTCGTGCCAACCCGATATTTCAATGGAAAGTAGTTTTAGTTTTTTTCTAAATCCGTAGCAAAAGGAGTTAGATATTTTTTAGGTTTATCTGAAGAAAAAAGACTCATTGAATTTCATCTTTTATAACTCAAAAATAAAAGAGAGAGAGAGAAATGTTATTAAAAAAAACTTTGAGTAGAATTTAAACCCCACAAAATTTTAAATACTTTCAAAAGTAAATAAAATTTCTTTACCATTCTTAAATTTTACATGATAAATACGAATAGCTACTTATCCTACATGTGAAATAAATTCTTATTCTTTACATACTCTGTTCACGTACCTATTTTTTATGCGGTTTCCACTGCGCAGTAATCCTCCATAGGAGAACTGGGTTTTACCCAAGTCCCTGCAGCCAGACAACTTAGCATTCATCCTGCTGAATTAATCATACGTAGTATAAATTATTCAGAGGATAGCTTCTCAAGAAATTTTTAACATCTGCTCGTTAGTTTAACATTATATTTATTATAAAATAAGATTTAAATAATCCTTACAGTCTAAAGCATGAAGTATTTTAGATAAACATCATAAATTAGACAGCATATTTTCTGCGAACGTTTAGACATTTTTCTTAAGCTTGTTGTATCTTGTATTGTCTTTAAAAATGGTAGAAAAAATGAGAGGAATTATTGTTTTTTCACTTGTAATAACCATGGTTAGGGAAAAGGGCTTGTTGTTTGTTTATACATAAAACACAAATGTGAAATGCAGAAATGCTGTTTTAATTTATTTTTGTTTTTATTTTATTATATAACCTTAGATTTTGTCCTTCCCAGTTATTTAACCATAAAGACTTCATTTAGCTTTTCACTTGCGCAGTTGATGACTGTATGCTAATCAGGCTGTAAACATCTGGAGTTTTGCATTTTGGTATTTGAAGAAAAATAAAAGAAATTACATTTTCCACACAGCGGGTTTTATTTTGAATTTAGAATACTATAGTGAAAACTATCAACAAAAATGTCATTCTGTCATTTTTACAAACTATTTTTCCGTAAATGATAGGGTATTTATCGGTTATTCTGGCTCGTATTTTCTTGGCGATAAAAGTATCTCCAACGGCATTTTGATAGCCCTTACTGTTGTTGCTTCGAATTTTTCTTTCCAAATTAGTAAATAATATTGAGGTCTCAACCATAAACCACTAATTCTGTTTTCAAGTATTTTAAAAAAATACTCGCTTGTATCGCGATAAACACCACCGACAATCCATTTTTCAGGTCAATAACTTCTAGCATGTTTTTTTTTCTCGTTTTTGTACAACTGCATACAATAGCATGTATGAGCATTTTTTTCATTTTTATCTTTTTAATATAAAATTCTTCGGAAGTAAATTTGAATTCTCTAAGGTGTTCGGTTGTTTATTTTCCTCCGTTATGTGTAGAGACATTAGGTATATTTTTTGGAAGCAGCCAAGATAAAAAAATGAGCAAACGCATTCGCCGGGAATCGAACTACGGACCTCTGGATACTGGCCAGCGTTCAGAACCACTACACCACGAAGGAACGCGAGAAAGTCGGATAAATACTTTATATATGCTGATTTTCTGGCATTTTGTTTCTTGAAGAAAAATTGCCATCAATAGAATATGAACCAAGATAACTTACCACCCTTGATAGAGATGCTTACTAACATGTCAGGAATAAATATTCAAAATATGTAGTTTTCGTTTTTGTTTTTGTTTTTGTTTAAAATCCATAATAACAAAAATTCACAGCAGTTTTAGAAACTGTGCAGATATTCTTTTTTGATAGTAGCAGTGCTAAAATATTTTTGAAAAGGCAAATCACAAGCATGAACAATTTCTGATAATCCAGCTTTCGTTAAAATCTGCTTCAATTTTAGAAAAGTAGAACACTGCTGAACCCAGTTATATAAAATTCTCTATTTTATACTAAGAAGTTTCGTAACTGATTACAGATATCTATACATTCAGTACTGAAAACATTAAGCCTATTACCTATTTGTTCGTTCATTCCATGTTTATATGCATTAATATAGATATGTGTACTTCGTAGTCTGTTCGAATTTCAATTTAACTTTGCTTATATGGATCATATAATGTAACTAATGAAATAAAGTATTTTTCGAATTCTAAGTCACATAACGTCTATAAAGTGTTAATTTCAAGCTATTTTTAGTCCAAAGGGGGCTTTCATCCCCGAAGGACTATTAGTTTCGTTTGGGCATTTTTGTCCGATTCAAATAAAAAGCGTTGCATCACTTTTCAAAATTGTGCTTATGCTTTTGTTACAAATTGTGTCTCCTCTCTACTCCTCGCTTTCTCATTCTCCAAATCTCTCTGCTCTTCCTCTTTCTCATCCTCCTCGCTCTCAAATCCTCCTCTCTCTCGTCCTACAAATCTCTCTCATGCTCCAGATCTCTCTTCTCCTCCTCTTTCATTGTACAAATCTCTCTTATGCTCCAGATCTCTCTTCTCCTCCTCTCTCATTCTCCTCTCTCTTATCCTCGAAACTCTCTAATCCTCCAAATCGTTTTTAAAATATCCCAGAATACTTTTCCTTTTGACAAATACAATATTGTATTTCTTCTTGACATTTCACGTCGATTCGCTACATATGTCAGTTCTTCTCATATCATTAATCAAAATTCATAGTTCTTTGGGGAAGAAAGCCCCTATGGACGTAATCTAAAATCTGAATTTTTTTCTCTCTATTTCGATATAAGTCATTTAGAACGGGAAAATGTCGCAGATGTCAGTATTCTTATACGAAAGCATGATTTTCAACCTCTAACCCAGATGCGCCGCTCTACAAGCATCTGAATTCCTGCGAAGTACCTTCATAATAAATACGTTTTAAGAAGGGAAGCCAATTTTGCTACAGATGTAGAAGCTGAAGCTTCCCTACATATGTAAATAGCAAACGCTCCGGAATTAACTAAGGAATATACTTTCCAACGAGATTTTATAGGAAGTTGGGTCCGTTGGATCTATCCTAAAATACTAAGTTCACCCGGATCTTTCCTAAAATAAGAAGTTTACACTGTCGTGAACTACATGAGGAAACTCTTCAAAAACTAATAACTCACGCTTCCTATTGTAAATTTATGCATGAACACCCGAACTTAATGCGTTGCAGTATTATAAAACGTAGAGGTAAAAGTAAGCAATTAGGAAGTTTTATTCTGGTATTCCATGTAATTTTTCTTGATTAGAATAATCATTATATTGATAATCAATAATCAAATAATAATCAGTAATAATCAACATGTTTTGTGATGTACTATTTTTTTATATTAGATATACGTATGGGAAGCTAGTAAAAGGCGATCTGAAGCTAAATATATCTTTGGAGTTATACGCATGGTCAAGAGAAAAAGTACCTATATTGGAAATAGAAGAGAAGGTATTCCTTATTTCTTACATTACTCTGCATGCTTCGTTTTTGTATGAAAATGCGTATAACTCTATAAACCCTATCTGAATAAAAAGTGAAATCATTTTGGATAATTATTTTATAACCAATGATTATTATTTTTTTAATCATTAAAGATATAAATAAACATCTGTACAGCTCTCAAGCAAAATTATATGTTAAAGTGAATTTACAGATGCATATTGCATTATATTTACAAATCTATGACGTTTAAAGTAGTAACTTTGACTCTTATTACAACAAAATGTTCAATCTGCTTTGATCACTTAATTCACATCAGAGTTTTATACGAAATTCAATTCTGAAAATATCTGATGAAGCTTTTCAGTTATCACTAAATTTTAAATTACATGTTGTTGTTGTTGTTATGTTGCGATTTATCTCACTTGTCTGACAGTAGCATCAGAACAAGCCCACGAAATACGTCGTGGCAAGAAGAGCAAGATTACGCGCTTTGAACATCATACAAGTGACAATACGGCTTCGGTCAGTTCCCTTCCCAATTTTGATGGAGAGTACCCCTGGGGGACGGGTCCTAGGGTCTCCCATCCCACTTCTGCTGCCATCAATCTCTCGAGAGGACTTTCGGCTCGCCATATATTTAGAGTGCCCCCATGCCTGAAGAACAGTATACATTTACAAACATCCATGCCTTCTCCGAGATCCGAATCCGGGCCCTTAGGTACCGCAGTAGGTTTCCCTAACCACTGTACCGTCTAGGCGGCTCGGTTATATTTTTGTTCACGTCATTTTAGATAATGTTATTTTTAATGCATTTTGTCAAAAATAAACTCAGTGTTTCAGCTTTTAAATATTTTATTTTTATGTCACGTAAAATAATTACAAAAAATTCTACATTTCTGATATTTCCGGGCAATAATCACTTTTTAATTTTTCCCCGCGTTTAGTAACCGAGCCATTATCTATTAAAACAAAGTTCGAAGATATCATGATAAATAAAAATATTATCGGAGTCTAAACGCATGAAAATTAATTAATAGTACAGTAGTCATCATGCATTTAGAGGAAAATAAACTGCTAATAATGAAAGCTTTGAAATTAAAAAGTTAATAATATGTTATAAATAACCGCTTGTTTCCAGCTTTAAAAATCCTTTTCTAAAATATTATCAGCATCACTGTTTGATCTCTGACAATTCTTGATTCAATTTCGAATTTCAGAGAGCGTCAGAATTTCACATGGAAGTGATGCAAATTTTTATACTATTATAAATTTTGTTTCTTCAGTTTTTGCTTAGAAATTTGGATTAATTTTGGCTTTAGCTTAACAACGTTCATGTAACTCTTTTAATATAATAGAAATTGTAATTGATGTAATTCACGGGCGAGCTTAAAGCTAAGTTTAAAACAGAAATTTCTTTCAGTATTCATTATTTTTTCGTACAGTACATTGACGTGCCACTGAATTAGAGACGTATTGATTAGTAATAAGTTTTTCTTTATTTGACCTTGATAATGGTTACCACTCAATGAGACATGGATTCAACAAGTTTTCGGAAATGTTTTATAGGTAAGTCCTGATAAACGTCTTTTAAAATTTCCCATAAATCAGTTTAGGACACTGGTGATGAATGATACTGCTTTCACACATTTTTCCGAAGTATGTCAAAGGTATTCAATGGGATTTCAGTGGCCGTCTCATCTGAGAAAATTCAGTGAAATGGTCTTCAAACGAAGTAACAGCTAACCGAAACTTGTGGTATACTTCATTTCTGTTTTGATAGAGGAAACCCATGAAGGGGATGTAAGTGATCGCCCAACAAATCTACGTATACATAGATGCACTAAGGTTACCTGGTACTAGTATCACAGATCACAAACGTTGGCAACAGAAAACATCCCAGGCTATCACTGAGTAATTATTACTTGGTAGAGTTCCAACTTGGTATACTAGATCCATGGCTCATGATGCAGTCTAAATCGAAACCCATCACTCCATGTCATTTGTATCCAGCCATCGATGAACCGGTCATGATATTTTGTGGCCCATTAAAAATAATTAGCGCTACTGCGTGTAATTAGAAGTGGTACTCTGGTAGGTCTTTGTCTTCTGAAGCCCATAACGCTGAAGCAAGAACTAGACAATCCAGCTACTCACTGCCCGACTGCAGTCATTCAGTTGAGTTGTCGCCTGAGTTAAGGTTTGGTGTTGTTAATTAGTGTTGCAGCTGAGTCTTCGAAGAATACTTGTCCCTCGCATTTTGTTTAATAGTTCTTCTTTTTCCACTGTTTATGTATATTCATATATTATTCCACTGTTCTTTTTTCACTGTTTACGTTTTTTTCATTATGTTCTCATTACACAGCATTCTTGATGCTGTGTAATGAGAAAATTTCTATTCCAAATTATTCCTGAAACTAAAAGACCATCGAGAACCTATTAGTTTTCTTCAATCGAAGGCATTTAAATCGCGAATTTTCCCATCTTCTTATTTTTAACAGTTGCTTAGACAAAGTGGTTCTAGTTATAAATATCCTAAGGTATTTCCTATGTTACTATATATTTCTAACTATGTATTTACAGCAATGCTCTTAGATGCCCAGAAGTGAGACACGTTGTGTTGTTTTAAAACATATAACTGAGAACTTTCACTTGTCGCAAATCATATTTAATGCTGGAAATTTCTGTTTATTGTACAGCAAATGAATATTTCATTACAATTTTAATTTGAGTATTATTTCATTTGCAGCTGGACGGTTGTTTTGAATACGAATTAAATGTTTCACTGATAGAAACAGGGGACGTTTATCGTTACAGAAGGATCATGGTTGTGGCTAGCGTGACAGAAAAAGGAACTGGTAAAGATGCATTTTTTTAGCTATTTAAATTAATTAGTATATTGATGAACATTGTAGAATTTCCGAAGTACAAATTAAAGACGATTCGTTTTGTTTTCAAAGCTGCGGGATCAAACTGCAATGGATTATTATAGAAAAAAAACACCTTTTGAAATTAATTTCAATATTAAACAAACACACATTCTTCTTTATATGTATAGATTTCGTAAAACTTACAAATTTTTTATTAACAAACTCTACGATTTAAAAGCGAGCAGTAGCAAAACTTTTCGAAATAAAGCATTTTTACCTCCAAAGCGCGAGACCGTTGCCACTCGGAAAAATGAGTGCGAAAATTAACGCTTTCAGTTTTTTTAATTAATATATCGACTGATTAAAGTCGTACGAAGATGGGAATGATCGAAATGGCTTTCCACGAGTTTTTGGAATCAGGAATAATGTATTTAATGTTTGGCAATGCAATTTTTATTTCATCGTAAAACTTAGAATTTTTTTATTAATAAACTCTAGGATTTTAAAGCGAGCGGTGACATATTTTTCGAAATAAAGCAGATTCTCATATACAAGACTGTTGCCACTCGAAACAAATGAGAGCGAAAAGTATCGTTTTTCCGAATTTTCAATTAATATCTCTGATTTTAGCTACTTTTTTGGGAAAAAAGTCGACGTCGACCTTAGCTGTAGTATTGACTGAATTATTAGCAAACAGACTTTCTTCTTTATATATAGAGAGAGAGATAGATAGATAGATAATTGCAAGCATTTCGTTCTTTAACTTGTGTAGAGCCCCTGAATATGATCTCTAGCTCTAAAATAAAATGAGTCTGTGTCAGTTTTGGGGGTCGTACGGGAGTCATTCTTTTTGTATTTTATTTTTAATGGCGAGTTTAAATTTTCCGGTTTATATGTATTAAGGATCAGGGTAACGTATAAAATGTTAAATTTCGTATTGTTTACAAAATGGAGTTTTTTAAGTTTGCCCAAATATGAATATTTGTATCATTTAAAACGTTTTTGTAATTGGAAATACGTATATGTCTACAACCAATGGTTGCGAAAATGAAAGTCGGGCTAGGACTTTTGTGAACACGATGAGTATGTATATAACTTTGATATTCATAATTTTTGCTCTTATTTACGTCCTTGTTATTTACATATTTATTAAAATCTGCATCAATTATTAAAGAAACTGCGAACAATTTTCACCAAATAATTTTATTTCAGGAGTGGAGCGAAATGAAACTAAATTTATTCAGCGGCAGTACTCTCCTCTTAATCTCAACTTTAATCGTGATCAAAGACAATATTACAAACCTGGTCTGCCTTACAACGGAAAAGTAAGACAATTCATTCTGATATGTGTGAAAATTCTATATGTATTTCTTTATGCATGAATTTCTTAGTAATAATATAGTGAAACATTCTATTATCCTGCAGTAGTAATTCCCAAAATGTGATACGTGAGACATTTCTTGTTGGGTCGCGAAAAGTTAGAAAAAAATATGATTATGTAATTAAGTTAGGAATTAATTCATGATAATTATGTTGTGTATTTAATTATAATTATTAATTAATTTTTAATAATTACTTATATTTATTTCCGTTATTTTCTTCAATTATCTTTTCTTTTTATTTTTTAAAACACTTACATGCATGTAGATAGTGATAAATCGAAACGTCATGCGTGGGTATCAATGCTAAACGGTTTGAAAAGCTCTATTCTAGAGCAAGAATTCAAAACCATATTTAATACCAGCAAACAGAACTTCGTTTTAAATACCAAATTCAGAAAGAAAAATGGTAACATTTTGCTTTTAGAAACATCATCTCTCAGTCGCACATAATCAAACAGTAAAATTGCTGAACCCTCGTAGTTTGATCTGGGTTCAAATCGCAGTAAGGAGGCTAACAGAGCTTTTGCAATGTAAATAACAACCATTTTCCCTTAGAAATCCCTCTCTGAATATATCCTTTTCCTTTAAGAAGATAGCACGCAAGTGATTTAGCCATAATTTAAATAATCCAACCATTCCCATAAATCACTACTTTGCAATTTCTTAGAAGCTACAATTTAGAATTTTGATTCCAGTTTAATTGTTTTATATTGTGAGAAAACAATTTCATTAAAAATAGGGCAAACTAGTAAATAATATAATGCAATTAATTATCTTTTAATTTTTTCCCTTAAGAAACCTTAATAACAAAATATTATAAATTAATTTTAATTTAATTTAATTAATTTGAAAAAATCAAAAGATAAATAAAAACAAGGCTGTTGATAAATTAGGTTCAAATGCTAAAAGATTAATAAATGATATGAAATTATACTGTATTGCGTAACATTTTGTGTTTTCAGATGTTTATGCTATTCTTAATTTTTTTTTGCAAAACAAAAAAAAAAAAAAAACCTATCTGATTGTTTTTGATAAAATTAAAAATCAACATATAGTATGTGAGAAAGTCAAGGAAAATAATTATTAATTATATGAAAAAATATAATCAGAAAAACGTTTATATTTTTGCGCTTCATTTCTATATCTATTGTGGAAGAAAGCAGTGCAATTCCCGCTATACAAAGTTATAAAACATAATTTTTATCCTTTGATCACATTACAGATTGTAAATATTAAAAAAGTTTCTTTAAAAGTAATTTTTATGAGGATCATTGTGAACTGAACTAAAAAACGGAAACATAAGAATAGAAAAAAGATTCAAATTATTGCTGTCTTGAAATTTAACAACTGACAGTCGACTTTAAGCAATAAAATAGCCTTTCAGAAATTGTAGGGTTTAGTGTTTTGCTTTAAAAATGCAGTAAAAAAATTATTCTTCTTAGCTAACAATAATCATTATATATGCTTTTATAAAGCAAGGTTTGAAAATGTATCAACAGTTCTTAAGACTATTCATGATAACCAACTACTGTAAAGTTTTTCGTAATTTTGTTTGTTTTCAGATGAGCTATTTCACTGTTTTTATAATCTTTTGTGCTTTTTCTGTGTGCAGCTGCAAGTGAATAATCCTGATGAAAGCCCTGCCGCAAATGAACCAATTGAGCTTTGTGCGACTGTATCAAGGCAACGTGTTTTGAGTGGCTGGTGGGCAACAAAAAAAGTGAAATATTGCAAAAATTATACTTCGGATGACAATGGGGTTATTCTATACACTTTACCTCCTCAGAACACAGATTCCATTGGCATCACGATCGAGGTAATTCATCACTGTTAGCTGTTCTTTATTGATTTTTGCATAAGGCAAATTTCATTAATTAAAATTTAACTTTATTGTTTAATTCTTTATTTTCTAGTTTCCTAAGAAAATCCATCCCATTTGTAAGAAAATCTCATGTAACACAGATAAATGTATCACAACTTGCTAGTTTTTAAAATGCAATTACTATTCTTAAGAAGTAATTAAACAGATTACAATGTCTATTATTTTATTAAAAAGATAAATTTCGGTTAGTATATTAATACCAATGAAAGTAATATTCGCTGTTCATATACAAAGATAGATAGTTAATCAAGATTAAAAATGAATTATTCGATTATGGGTTATTATTTAAATTCAGATCTTACAGAAGTCTAAAATGCAAATTAAACAAAATCTGCAATGTAAGAAGCTTAAATTTCTATAATTATCTTTTAAAGCACGTAACTTTAAGCTCAAGGATTTAGCATTCCTAAGCCATGGAAGTAACATTCTTTACCTTGTACAGTTCCCACACAATAAATAAACAATTAAATAAATCTAAAAGCTTTCAGATTTTATACTACGCCCAAGGGGGCGTTTTTATTACTGTGTGTTACTTTTATTTATTAAATATCATGTTCTTCACACTTAGACCATAAAATCCAATTCAACAGCAATATCGCAAAATAATTTTAAAAGAGCATATCTTTTGAATTACAGATACACAGTCACGCGCGCTAGAGATAAAAAAAAAAGTTTTTTTTTTTTTTTTTTTTTTTTTTTTTTTTTGGGGGGGGGGGGTACAGTTTTGTCATTTGCTCGCTTTGAAATCGTTGAGTTTCTTAATCAAAAACACATAAATGCTTTACAAAATGTGAAATAGATAATAAAACAAATGCCAAATTTGGGCTCTCGGATGCCCATATTCGGGTGGAGACGTAGGTTATTCAAACTTTTATGGCTCTAGGTACACTCTTACAGGGAGATCATATTTGGTAGCAACAATTTGAAAAGTAATTTATACTTTTAAAATTTTCGACGCAAAATGCCAAACCGAAATTAACAGCCCTTCTGGTCCAACGCTGTTTGGGCTAAAAAAAGGGGTAAAAGAAGAGTGTTTTTCGAAAATTCCATGATCATGTTAAAGGGTTTCCGAACATCGAATTTATCGAAATTCTTGACTCATTTGTAAAAGCTAAGAAAAACGCTTGGCTAAGTCTTATGGACAAATAATATAACACTTCAGATTCTTTTCGTGCTGTAGTTTAACTGGATATGATTGCCTTTAATTAATCGTCTATTTGACATTAGAACTCGGAATTCTCCTAAGTTAAAAAAAAAAAAAAAAAAAAAAAAAAACACTTAAAAGCGTCTGTTGCTTTCGAAAGGAGATTTGGCATCGGTTCACTATAAACGGTGAAACGCTTTCCGAATTGTTGCCACCAGATATTATCACCCTATATTATTTTAATGAGAAATTAAATGATAAGGATCTACATGAATGCATTTATATTTCTCTCACTGTGAAAACATGACGGTACTTAGAGCCATTAAATCTTGAATAACATCATAGTTCTCCTCGCGAATCTATTGAATCGAATCCAATAGCAACAGATAACAAATCTTCGCGCTTAGTGCTTCGCGTTTAAGGGCGAAGCCTAAGTTCCTAAGCACGAAGAACGCAATATTTAATAAATAAAGTTAACACACGAAACGTTAACAATAAAAAGAAAAAAATTGCTATCCCTCTTACGAATAAAACTGATAATTGATATGATGAACTAAGGAAAGACTGAAAAAAAAAAATAGAAAAATATATACCAACACTTAACACTGCATCGGGAATTCTTAACATATACTGCTGTACTGCTTTTAACTTTTTTGTAATTCTCCTGTTGAATTGTATATGGCGTAAGTGCAGAGAAAATAATGCTTAATGATAAAGCTAAAAAGACAAAAGTTTTGGTTTAGTACGAGTGAGTGCGGTAGAAGTCGGGTAAACTGCGAGCGTAGAGAGAACATAAAAAATCTTAACAAGTCGTTTTAGGCGATCGTATCTTCTTTGAAAAGCGGAAACTTTTAGATACTTCATTTCTTAGCCTTATGGTTACTTGTACAAAACTCCGAACAAAAGATTTTAAGCATTCAACTAAACTATTTTCAAATGAAAGTATAAATTTTAAAATTAAGATTCGGTTTGTTTGATACATTGACTTTAAAAGTTAAGTTTTTAATTTTTTTTAACAACGTCGGCGATTTATTACTTTCGACAGTTAGCTAAATTTATACTGATATCATAATTGTAAGTATATACTGAGAAGTACATATTTCCAAATTTATTTCACCCCAGTTTAGGCATAGAACCGAAAGTAATTTAAAATTCTAATTGTATGCACTAACCGACACCATTCCCTTTCGGATAATCCAAATAAGGCTGGTTAATTAAGTTAGAATACTTCGAGGAAATAAAGCTTATATAAAGAACAGAAAAAGGTGTATAATTTAATAGACCATGCAAAGAAGTTGTCGTGATCACATCAGAGTTTTTACTTTACTTACTCACATCAGATTTATTGTGCATATCAATAGAATACAGGTATAAAAACAACATATATTTCACCCCAGTTTAGGCATAGAACCGAAAGTACTTTAAAATTCTAATTGTCTGCACTAACCGACACCCTTTTGGATAATCCAAAAATCCGGATAATTTTTTCCATTGTAGTTTCAACGAACATGCACTATGATGAAAGCGATTAAAATAATGCAACAGTAAATGCAGAGTATAACACTTATAAAATTAAATATAAAACTTCCTGGGATGAGGTGGAATATACATTTTAAAAACTAAAAGAAAATAATTAGCTTCATTTACACTGACTATAAAATCAAATTTTTTTCTTGGAGAAAGAGTTTCAAAACACCCTTAAGTTTCTTTATTATGCTTTTAAATACAGCACTTTCTATAACATAGTAAACAAAGAGCAGTAAGTCTATATGCAATACATATCTCTTCCTCCATTCACATTTTTTAAGCTACATATTTTCCAAACTTTGTAGGTCCACCTATATGCCAGACATATTCTTGTAGTTAATTTATAACTTCTTAACAAATATGTGCTTTATTGAAGTAACCCTTTATCTTACTTAATTTAACAAAAAGATAATTTTAATATACAAATGGTATTTTATTTTATTGTATTTATATTTATTGAAAAATACAAAAATCGTGTTTACATCACACTTAGAATTGTAAATGAAAGAATATTGAAAAATTTCCTGAGACCAATATTTGGTGAAAAATAGTTATCAATATGGGTGTTTGTTCCAGTTTGAAATCGGTTATTTTTATATATTCTTCCATATTAATAAACAACACTTCTAAAATAAACGTGGTAATACGGCAACCATGTTACAAACATCACGCCATCAAATAGCAGCATATCGTCTAAGCTTTGTGAGAAAGAGCGTGCTTATCCGAAAGGCCCATATCCTTCGCTTGTCAAAATAATTATCCATATGAAAGATTATGTAGACCAGTAGAATTAAATACGTTCATACACCGTGTCGGAAGCAAGACTTTTATTGGATTGCCCCAAGCAACCTTCAGCATATTATCTTCCACAGAAGAATTATCCGCAAGTATCCGGTACCGGTGAAACTTTTTAAAATATTAATTTTGAATGCGTTTTCAGTATGCATACTTAATGTTGCTTATATCGTAGTTAAAATAACAATAATTTGAAATTCTTTGTATCTAACAGAATCCCTTTGATTGTTATTTTGACTGTTTAAACTATTGTGTAAAAGTATAGTTGATAAATATTTTGACAGATGATTATTAGTTGTCTTTAAACGCATTTACTTAATGTTTTGTTAAATGAAAACTTCAAGTTTTGAACTTCGATATAAGTGCAGATTTAGGTCCAGTATACATTTTTTATATGAACCTAATTCAGCATCAGTTTCCCTATTAAATAAGAAAGGAACTCGTCTCATTTTTGTTTTCTTTTTGGTTTATTGGCAAACTATTTTTCTTTTTCAATTTAATTTCGAATTTTATTTTAGTAAGTGCGCTTGATGGTATTTTTATTTTTATAACTGTCAAAGTAACAATAATGTGAAATTCTGAATTTCCTTAATATTGAATATCATCTGCATTATTTAAAATAATGAAATTTTATTGCATTTTAAATGCATTGATATAAAAACTTTCCATAATTCAGCCACCAAAGTGTATAATTTGAATCGTGAATTTAGTTCAATATTTTAAAACTTATTTTTATTAGCCCAAAGAGGCGTTAGCTCAGAAAGGCTATTACTCTCGATTAATGTACATTTCACGTTTCAAATTGCTGCCACCAAATATTATCGTCCTGTATTATATTATAAGAAATTAAATAATGAAGAATTTGCATGAATTTATGCGTGTTTCTCAAATTGTGAAAAAAAGGTGCCTAGAACCATTAGATTTTGAATAATGTAGTCCTCCACCCCAACATGGGCAGCTGGAAACCCGAATTGGTTTTATTATCTATTTCATATTTTACAAAACTTTAACGAATTTTTTATTAACAAACTTAATGATTTCTAAGTAAGCAATGCAAACACTGTATTTAAAAAAAAAAAAAAATTATCTCCAGCGCGCCAGATTGTCTGTCGGAGATTCTGAAATTCTGCTGTTTTTAAACATCTTGTGATTTTGCTGTTGAATCGAATTTTATGTATCCTAAGCGAGAAGAGCGTGATATTTAATAAACACACAAACTGTTAATTAGAAAAGCACAAAAAAGTTTTATAAAGCCATCTTAGTAAGAAAACTGAACATTGCTATGATGAACTGAGAGACTGACAAAAACAGAAAAATGTATGCCAACAACGCTGTATCGAGAATTCTAACCGTATACTGCTGTGCTTGTTTAAAAAATTTTGTACTCTTGCTGTTGAATTATTGTATGCAGCGTAAGTGCGAAGAAATTTGTGCTTAATAATAAAGCTAAAGAGACTCAAAATTGGATTGGTTGAAGTGAATGTAACAGCAGATTGGTAGACTGCAAGCTCAGCGTTTTAACAAAAACGTATTTCAGTACTGATTTTTGCTCTAGGTTTTCAATTAAATGAGGACAATTTTTATCTCATCATACTATTCTTCGAAAACGTAGAGTCGCGGTGTCCTTAAATATTGATCTTAGATTTTAATTTATTTATTATGGATTTTTAGACGGCGTTTAAATTCACTTGGAATTTAGGCTCATAATATTTTGTAATATATAGAGAAAGCAAACCATCAATAGGTAATTATGTATTACTTTTACATTACATTTACGGGACATTAATAAGCATGTTAATTTATGACACTATATGCTCCAATCACAAAGTTTCGTAATAGATGGTGAGTATTCTTTAGAGATTATAGATGAGTATCAATCGATGGTGAGTTTTACGATAACGCTCTTAAAAAAATAAAATCGGTCATCGTAGATCAACCCCGTTGAATAAAAATTCCAATTACTTAAAATATTCTTGACACTTTAGCTTAAACTGCCTTAAATATACAACAAAACGCCCTGAGATGCTTAACAAACATTTCCTAGAAGAATCCACGGGCAAATTCAGAAGCAATTAATCTAAGTCCTTAGGTTTCTAATCAACGTCCAATCAATCTAACTCCTTAAACAGTTTCTGCCCAAATTTGCTCACGAATCTCGAATTATGGCATTATAAAAATGGAAAAATAGCTACTTTCAGCAAATTTACACTTGAATATGTCTTCGAATTTTCCAAGTAAAGGTTATTTTTAATTAATTATAATTAATGTTTTATTAGTTGGAATGCTTGTTTGATTAAAACTCAAGTGTTATTTTATTTTTTCCGAACATTCCCACGTACAATGTTGAAAATATTCAAATAAAATTCTGCACCTTCTTTTGAGAAATATGGCAACTGTAAATTAAAAATATAAACCCTGTTTCCACAATTTTCCGTACACTCTGTATGCCTCAATCTCTATGTCTTCCACACTCGCTATATAATTTTGAAGACACATTTGCGATCAATGCATTCGGCTATACGACTGTCGGATGAGTTAAAATCAAATTGCACAGACCTCAGCGTTACTTGAAGCTTTAAGGCTCCTGGTAACTTAAATAATAAGTTCGATAACTCTCTGAGGTCCAGTTGTAGTACACTATAAATTTAAATAATCCTAAAACTTTAAATTTGTGGTGTAAAAGTATTTTAGCAGTCCTATTTTTTATATCTACAAGTATGATTCTGAAAATGTTTGTATTACATTTCAGGCAAAATCTATTCGTTTTGCGAAACCAGCAAATCCCACCGGAACTCACCGTGAAAATGTGCTAAATACACCAGAAACAAGTATGTCTCTGACACCTTGGTTCTCGCCATCTGGTAATTTCCTTCAGTTGCAGCCAGAGCAGGATGTACTAAAGTGTGGTACGAAGAAGAGCGTCACAATTCTATTTACGTCAAAGGAAGATGCCAATCTGAATTTCGTGTACCAGGTAATTAATCGTAAGAATTGTACTTCTTATAATTTATAATGGATTTTAGTAATTTGCTCATAGAGCATTTTCTAGACTGTGGGGAATTTAAAATTCACTAGGGTTTGCGCATAGCCCCAACAGAAATTGAGTTTCTGTTGGGGCATATCAGCTTAAGTATTAATTGCTTTAGGAAGATTTTAATTGAAGTTCTGAATTAATATTAAATATGAGTTTGATTGCCTTAATGAAATTTTGACAACTCACCTATCACTGTACTTAAATATATTGAATCATTCTTAATGCTCACAATCAAAAAACATTTTAATCGTGACCAAATATCCACAGTATGAGTTCAAAGGTAAAAGTAGAAGTTTATCTAATGCGAGTTAAATCCAACAGATGTTTTACAAGTACCAACAGCTGTAACGTAACAGCTGTGAAAACTAACTTCTTCGCATTTCTTCATTAAATTTGCTATGCAATATTAAACTGAAGTTAGCCTTTTTCAAACCCGGACACAGTAATTTGCCGTCGTTCTATTATGTTGAAAATCTGTTAAATATACCTTCGCTAAATCACGCATCTTTTAAAAAAATATATAGTACAGTCCTTTTTTATCGCAAGCTCATTTGAGACTATAGTTCAAGTCGGCCTTCATTCTTACTCTTTTAACAAAGCACTCTAAACAGAAATGAATTGGGGACGGGCACAGTTAGGGAACTCGACTATCTTATCTGCCGCAATTTACACAAATGACTACTATGAATGTGACAAGCAAATATTACACAACTCTGCAAATGTGTAAACAGCACATATGATGTACATTAATATACCCCACTTGATATTGTTCAGGCCAAAGTCTTGATAGGTTACAAATACCCATCTTCCGAAGTAACTTTATAAATTGCGCTTCAAATTATAATATACGTAATATAGAGATTTTTCGCTAGGCCTAGCGACAATAGAATGCTCTACCAATTGAATACAAATGCTGATAGTCATATAATAGGCGGTACAGCAACTCAGCTGGTGGTAAATAAGTAAGTTGTTGTTGCCGTGATTATAAGAAAAAGCAACTGAGGAAAAAAAAATATCCTGAAATGCCCAGTTTGAAGTAATAAAAGTCAATAATTATAGCTGTAATATAATTCCAGCAAAGTATCAGTCTCATTCTTTATCATAAATCAAAGTGCTAGAATTTTTCCTGACTAGAACTTCTTGCCAGTGAAATCTAGATTTTTTACGATATTATGTAAAAAGCTTTTTTATCCAGGTTTAAAAGTTTATAATCTTCTTTGGCGGTTTTGTTACATATTAATGTAGGTTGTAAGCCAGGGTAAGGTACTACGATCTGGCTCTGTTCCTGTCTCATTCTCAGTCCAAGATGATGTGTCCAAAGAATTCCAAGATGAAAGTAAACTTATCAATGAGCAAGAAACTCAACTTGAGCCAGCATTAACATCCGCAGACTCATCTTCAAGTTCATCCTCAAGCTCATCTGAGGAAGACTGCCCATCAGCAAGGGAAGCCAGGTAGGTTTCATTTGTGATTTTATCTTCATTTCAATAATTGTTGTAGAATTATTTGAATAAGAGATCCTTGGAAAATGTAATAAAAATAAATCAGCAGAAAAACAACGAAGAAATTAACTGGTTGAAAAACCTTAGCAAAAGTTACCTGAAAGGTTAACGTTTTATACACAAACATAAAAAATAAATATGGGCTAATACCAGATTTTCTCTAATCCTTGTAACACAATACGTCTGGGAAGTTTTACGACTTAATTGCTATGAAACTGAAAACTGAAGAAAACAACATTTTTACTGCTTACTCTTCTATGTACAATATTTATAACTTTATACACTGCTTGATGCTTTCATCTTCTCGTGTACAAACTTGAGTTCTTCGAACTCAAATTTTGAATACTGTTTAAGCCTGTGGTGAAGGTTTTATGAATTTCTTTGGCCATTATTCTTATCGTTATGAGTATTTTCGCGTCTATCATGAAATCATCGGAACCAACGGAAAAACATTGGTTCATGTTAATACTTGACCCCAGAACGCTTTACACAACATTTCAAATGTCTCCGTTGCTGTTTTATCTGGTTAATAGCAAAAGCTGATTGCTAATCTTTGCTTAGCTTTCGAATCCTTGACAGTAGATGTTCACTGGATCAAAACAAACAATTAACTTCCTACAAAATTTCTTTAGAAAAATCATGTTGAGATATCTTGGAGATAAATACCATTAATAATCATTTGTCATTTTGCTGGAAATAGTTAAATAAATTTGTCCTAAAACTTTTTTGTAGACGCGCTATGTATAGGATTTACAAGGAGGGGGAAGGAAACTTAAAAACGAAATCTGAAATCTTCTCTTATTGAAGTACACGAACTTAAGATCACACTTTTTAAGAATATATCTATGTACATATGCTCAGAATACGCATATGAAATTTAAGTAAATCAAGTACAATATGATTAATCTTGAATTTCGAAATTCATTTTGTCAAAAAATTTTGGAAACAAGTAGAGTAACAGCTCAATTTTTAAGTCAAAGTATAGAGAACAAAGAGACAGCTTTCAAGAATTAAGACTGATAAATGCGAATTCTCTCCAGGAAATTACGAAAAATTCTGGAATGCTAAATTCTCTCCAGGAAATAAAGAAAAATTAAAAACATGGTTATTTTAGGAATTCATAACGGATAAATTCATTGTGACATTAAGAGCTGCTAAGAGGTTGATACTGATAATTATAATTTCAAGAATAGAATTTTATGCATTTATTTTTATTAAGCGCTGCTATTTCAGTTCAGTAAGTTTTAAGTTTAAAAGTTTATTCTGTGTTTTAAAATTAGGATACAAAAGATTCGAACGACAAGAAAAGAGCAAATATTCGAGTTTACCAGCATTTAATATTTTTTAGGATTCGTGGAATTCGAATTTCACATCCTTAAATAAGTAACATGTGAAAATTAGCATGGGTGCTTAAAGTAATGAAATTTTAAACGTAAAAATGTAAATGTACTATTTTATTTCTTTTGTAATCTTTTCATTTAATTTTTTTCCTTCTAATTAATGTTTTTTCTTGTGCCAGCATATTATTTATATTACAAAAATACTTTATTTTAGTTTAGAGAAAATTAATTTGCATCAGCATGTTACATGAATTTTTATTTTAAATTGTGATCAGATGTAGATTTTTTTGTGTTGTTGTTCCCAAAAAATTAGCTTATAAAATAACCATTGATATAATATTTTGCTTAGAAAGCAAAATAAATGTCTCATATCTTTCCGAGCAAAATCTGTTGAGAATTTTTTGTCCATAATCTGTGTACAATATGATGTCTTTTAAAATGCAGTTGGACTTTGATAAGCTGATGTCCTCATTAACTGCTGAGTGATTAAGACTGCTGAATACTGATAATTTAAACAAAGCAAACGGGCTGACTGCATGTTTGCTTTTCGAATTTTTCTTTCATGTATGACATAAATGCGAGCTGTTTACCATATTCAGGGTGTAAAAATTTCGAGGAATTGAAATTTTGAATGTATGAGCCTAATAGCACTTAAAATGCATCGAACACTGCATTGCACTGCGAGAAATACATACGAAAAGTACCTTTTATTCTCTATAGACTTACACATTAAGTTCCAAGGGAAAACATTTAAACAGGTTGAGAACACAGTTTATCGAAGTACAACTGTAACAGACAAGCATAGCATTTGGTAAGAGCACAGTAGCATAGTAAACAGACAGGCATAGCATTTGAAATGTCTTTGTCCGTCAAAGATGTTTCACGAATCTTAGTAATCTCATAATTCGCTTAATAGGAAAAACAGTAATGCTGACCAATTAATTAACTGTCCTCTCCTTACTGATTAAAATAATTAGACAGCATAAATTTTCGCTAAGTCATGCCAGTCATGCTTTGCTTTACGAGGGAGGGATATTAGAATGAGGTAAAAGATAGATCAATATATAAATGTTTCATTATATTATATTATATTATATTATAATGATTAAATAATAAATTATAATAAACAAAAAGGCGATCTATTTCTCATTTTGTAATTATTTTTTAATACTTTCTCTGTTTCAGATACGTCCCGCCTGTGGGTAAAGTGACAATTGATATTGATATCGATGCTAGCCTGTCACCATCGTTCCATCTTTTGGTATACTACATCAGGGACGACAGAGAAACTGTGGCAGATTCACAAAAATATAAAGTCGAAAAATGCTTTAAAAATGAGGTATGAGAGTAAAACGTGATATGTTTCCTGTATTTTATGTTTTAAACACGATGCTTTATCTTTGAATAGAAAAATTTAATGATAAATGTCAGTCTTTTATAGATAACCACACACTATTTAAGGTAATGTGAACTAATTTACATTAACGCAAAATTCGAAATAAATATAGTATAATTCACAAAAACAACGTGCGTCTAGGAATCAAACGTTTACATAAATTTACTACGATGACTAGAAACAATCTGCGTGTAGGCAGCATAAAGATCATATTTATACGAAGAAATTTATTACAAATGTTTTTATACAAAAAGTGTAATTTTTATATTATCTTTTCGTTATTCATGTAATGCAAACTAAATATTTCATTTATTTAAAAAATTTAAAAATCTGAAAGCCTTCAGATTTTACGTTACACACACACAAAGGGGCGTGTTTTTAACGTTTTGTGTGTTACCTTTATTTATTAAATATAATGTTCTTCGCACTTAAACCATAAAATTGAATTCAACAGCATTATTACAAAATAATATCACAATTAATGTTTCCAAAGTTACAAGCACTTTAAGCGCACTACTCAAGTTTTGAAGCTTTGGATGCTATACAGTGTGCGAACAGATCTACATACCCCTAATCCCCCGTCGTGAATCCTATAGAATATTTTTGGGTTTTCCTGGAATACAGGATTTAGCACAATATAATTTGAAAATGGTATATTAAAGCTTTTGTTCTATTTCAAGAGAAGAATGGTACAATGTAAACATCAAGAAACTATCAAAATTAATTTGTGCTAGTTTAGGATCAGTGAGTCCTTATAAGGAAATGATAATATGCAAATTATTAGCCGACTACAAAAAAAAAATTTCTGTCAATTTAATGCTTATAGACTTTTTGTTTATAGATTTTATTTCATTTTAATTTGCGACTTATTTCACTTTGCCGTTGGTAAAAATAAAATGTGTTCAACATGCAATAATCAAAAAATAAAAATTGCATTTATTTCGATGAAAGTCTTTTTAATAATTTTCTTTGCGTAAATATGTTACTTTGATTGCCTGTACGTATACTTTCTCTTGTAAATTCCTATATTAATCCTAAATGTAGATAGCTTCTTGACTATATGTAGTGTATGTATTATTCGGTCGTTAAAACTTTTAACGTGAACATGTCGTGATTTTCTTTATTGGAAAAATGTAGTTTAAAATTTAGCTAACTGAAATTTAGATATTAATTTTTACATTATGCTAGTACATTTTAAAGCTTGCGGAAGGTTACTGTATCCTTACTAATATAGTTAAACTATTAAAACTTTAAAGAAAAAATAGTAATTATCTGTAATGTGGTTATAGTCGTCTCCTAAAAATACGGAAGCTAGAAAATTTTTAAACTCATTTCGAGATGAAAAATTATACGTGGGTTTAGTTTAATCATGGTGATAATTTATTTTTGCTATGATCCGCGGCAACATTTACACTGACTAAATTATATGTTACTATCTTTTCAGAAATATGTATATATTTTATCATGGTGTTTAGATTGCCTTTATTGCTGACTTTTAGGTAGCAGTCTTCATTAGAATAAGTACTCATTTTTATTTTAAACTCTGACTTTAATGCATTTTTTGTTCTGTAGGTTCATTTTGGATTTGGAGATGAAGTCCAACAGCCTGGCACGAGAACATCAATAAAAGTTAAGGCAGCTCCTAACTCACTTTGTGGTATCAAAGTTGTTGACAAAAGTGTTTCGCTACTGGACTCCAGTGAACAACTAACGACAGAAAAAGTAAGTGATTTGAGACTAAGTTTTTACGACGAATATACTTATAATTTTATGAGCAATATAATTGTACAGCTATATATATAATGATAATAGCATATGAGTTACATTGTAAGTATTATTACATTTGTAGATATTTTCAATTTTGGAGAGCAGGGAATACGTGCATTATGGTAGTAATCCTTGCAATGAACCTGCTCCTCAACCTGGTAGGTAGCAGCTTTTATTTTTGTTAATAATAACTTATATTTAACTATTATGTTTTAACTTTTCAGAATAGCAATTTTTATGTTAATCATTAAATGATATTAAATGTAGATACTATTCGTTTTACTGATCAGACCAGGGATGGTACGTTATTATAGAGTTTATAAATATTATTTTGGAAAACCTTTTGCTTGCTTGTATTATTTTTAGTGTTATCATTCCAGCTCAGCGTTAGTGAAACTTCCAACTTTAGTGAACAAAACGTAATTCAGATTGCGTGTTTTGACACTAAAACAATGCGCCTTTTGATTTTGTTACAGGATTACCTTATAATGAAAAATTAAAAATAAGAATAGTGAAAAATATTTTAAAACTAATTAAACGTACAATCAAGAGAAAATTTTATCTTCTATATTTACAGAATAAAAAATCCATTTCTTTATCCCAGTGATTTTCAAAGAGTGAAACTTCATTAAGACAAAGCAGCAAGTCATACTTCGATAAGTGTCATTGCATTTCTTGAAAAAATGAAGACTGATGCAGGTATTGCATATATAACTTTTCAAGGCATTTCTGATAAGTCCCCTAATGTTTCGCTTGGGGGCTATTGTCCTTATGGTCTCTTGAAAAGAGCTCTTTATAAACACAATTGATGGACTCTGAAATGTTGTGGAAGAGGAATGGAAATCAATAATCTCTGGAAATTTTACCGAAACCTTCTCTGTCATAGAAAACATGATCCAAAAAAAAGGCTGTAGTTCAGAAGTACAGGTTAGTCTATAATCCAGAAAGATTCCAGAGCAGATCGATCTATAAGACCACAACAGGTCTATCTATAGTCCAAAAAAGAGCTATCAGATCGAACATTTAAAAACATACTCTTTACATCTTAAACATTAATTAAATGGCTCCAAAATCGTTCTAAAAGCAGATAGATCTATAAGACCACAACAGGTCTAAAAAATAGCTATCAAATCGAACGTTTAAAAACATACTCTTTACATCTTAAACATTAATTAAATGCCCCCAAAATCGTTCTAAAAATGTGTACACACCCTCCATATTTTACCTCTTATTGCTATGCAAATAGGAGCGTAAGCAAAATAGCATCTGAAATAGCAACTACGGTCGCGGACATTCACTCGACAGTTGTTATACGATAGGACATTATTAAGTGTCACGTCCATGTAGCCGATAGCACGTATATTTATAAGAAGAATGTGAGAAACTGTGCCAATAAAGACTGCCCGTACTTATCGTCAAAGGCCGTCGTCAGAGTGCATAGTTAATAGGCTTATAGACATTATAGGCAAATACTACATTTTTGTTTTCATTTAATGCCAGATATCGATAAATGTCCGTATTTTGATTTATGATCATTTTTATATGCCTTCTTTCTCGCCTGCTCTTTGAAAATTAAAAATTACTTTCATTGTGGCACAATTTTCGCCAACATCAGGATCAAACAAGGGGTAGATAAGCAGAGGAGCTCCATCTCCTCTGCTGTTTCTGATCCAGTAACGAGGATGTTGGCGATCAAGATTTGCAACCGTCAAAGGTAACTGTGTAGATTACTCTCCTGCGAGGGGGTCAACATTAAGAAGAATAAAAAAAAAGGTTAGGAAATTATAGTGCAAAAAAGGAACTTATCGCATGTATTTATCAAGGAGTTGGGAACAGGTGGTTTACAGGTGTTGTATTAAGTCGAGCATAGACAGGACGTCCTCTACACTTTATGCGCCAAGCTTGTTTTGTTTTCCTTTGCATTTAGCTCACGATATCCGATTTCACCGAAGGTTTGTGTAGAATGTCAGCTAAATGGGCGTGACGGTTAAATATTATGTGTGCTTAATGTCAAGGACTTTTTACTTACGCTCCTGTTTAAATAAAAGTAGCATACGAAAATCATTAAATGACGAATGATGCCTGTTACTAAAGAAAAATTAATTATTTGTAACTATTTTTAAACAATAAGAAAAAACTACTAAATTAGCATCATTAGCATTACATATACGAGGCTTATTTTGACATTACACAAATACAACGGCACTTTTGTAATAATTTTATTTTTACCAAAGCCTGGACTTCAATCTACATTTCAGTCTAATTATTTACCTCTATTACAATACTTACTGAATCGTACGGTGAGCATCTTAATCCCATTTTAATAGAGATCTGCTACATGATTTCATAACCATTTTTTGGTTTCCAGTGTGAGCAAGACTTCCGACAGCTTAAACGTTCTGACACAGTTTTTATATAAAACACTTCACGAAACTTGAGGAAACTTTGTAAATAATGATGAAATCATGAAGCAATGATGAAATCATAATGTTCGTGAGGGACGATGTGGGCGACCGTCCGTCATTAATGATGATCTGACCCGGATTGAAAAGGTTCGAGAACACAGACGCTTTACGATTTCATCATTATGTACGAAGTTTCCTGAAGTGTTCTGTATCAAAATTGTGACAGAGCGCTTAACTTATTAAATTACAAGTTTTGAACTCATTCACTTTGGATATCAAAAACGGTTTTCAAATCATGCGGCAGATTTCTATGCTTATACGAAACGATACGTGCCTTTATATGTAGGTAGAATTTAAAAGTAAATTAAGGTCAAGACCTTCGTATACAAATAAAATTGTTATATAAATAGAAATAAGAAAACTCTGAAAGGGTTCAGATTTTAATGATCGCCAAAAAAAGTTTGTTGAGTTTTTTTACGCTTTCGCTGAGCTCGCAGTCTACCAGTCTGCTATTACCCTCACTACTGCTAACCCATTTCTTTTTGTCTTTTTAACTTAGAGCACCAATTTCTTCGTACTTACACTGTATACAATTCAACAGAAAATTTACCAGCATAGCAACATATATTTAGAGTTATGATGCAATGTTAAGTGTTCGCATATACCGTATTTGACGGCATATAAGACGCGCCGTTATTTTGAAGGCCACACACATGTAGATGTAGAAAACGTTATGTGTGTCTAGACCTTTATCCGGGCTAAAAATAGCATTCAGTATTGAAAGTTAACCTGTGTTCTTCACGTATAAGACGCAGGTAACTTTTTTGAGACTAAATTTAGAAAAAAAAGTGCGTCTTATATACCATCAAATACGGTATATTTTTTACTACTTTTTTCCAAGTTTATTACATCAATGTATAATTTTCTTAAGATGGATTGCAAAACTTTTTTGACTTTTTATATGTATTCAATCAATAGACTTAAATATGCATTTTTTTTCTTTTCTGTAGGTTTATACAAATCAGCACCTTTAGATTATAGCTCAATAGTTATGCCTCGACCCTGGTCTTCATCGTCATACGAAGATGCACTTGCTGCATTTTACGTAAGATTTAAATAAATTATGACTATTATTTAATGACCACTATTTAATGATGAGAATGTTTTTTGCCTAATTAGTAATTTCAGCTACTTTACATTATTCTACTAATGTGGTTAATTCTTTGATAAAAATAAGATATTAATTGGCGTAAACATAAATGAAATCTCTCGAAGTCTATACAAGGTGACTTGAAATATGAATATATAAGGTGAAAACACTTGAATAATATTTTTCATATTAAATAGACAGTGATTATATGCTATATGATGTTCAGTAGCCACACGAAGGAGCTACTGAGGAATATGGAAAGTGTAATTTTAATAGAAAATCTGAGATATAAATGATAAAAAAATGTAATCATGACAAACGCTATTAATATCAATCACTTCAAAACTAAACAATGTTTATTTAGATTCCAGTTACAGAAACAAAAATTTATAAATATATGAAAAGCCTCTTCATGAACTCTAAAAAGAAATCTGAAAGTTCTGAAAGGCATACTAATTGAATTTTTCAATTAACTTCAGTTTTTGCTAGAAAATATTTTGGCACAATACAAGTCTCATTCCATTACAAAACTTTGCTCACCTTTCTAGAATTTATTGATCTTGATAATAAAGGTACTTTATAGAATGCTTTTAAACAGCAGACATCCTTGTAGATTAATAGATTATTGCTTTAATATGAAAATCTTACAGCGAGGGTGAGTGTTGAAACTTGAAAGACCTCAACTCTTCGAGAGGCAAGAGGTAATATCTTAATATATGGACCACGTCTTCTAGTCTGGGAACTCTTATGTGCACATGAAATGGAAATTTTGTAGGAAATCTGAGATCATTTTGGGACAATATAATTTTTTGTGAATGGAAAGTCCTTCTCAGATAGTAAATTTTTAATGAACGAAGCGGAGGGGTGTCTTACGAAAGCATATTCTAAAGGAGATATTTTATATCTCTTTACGCTATAGATGATAAAATCATTGACAATAATATTTAGAAAAGTATAGTAATATTCCTTGTCTTTTAGGTGAACTTTTTAATGAGAGAAAGTCTGAAAATTTCCTAGGTTTACATGAAAATGAAACTAATTTCATATCCCAAAGGCATTCAAAAATATAAAATGTTTCATCTTTAATTTCAAAATAAATAACGGCCAATTATAGCTGGCAAGATAACTGAAATGCGCTAAATATCCTAAGACAATTATCAGGTAATTTACAAAATATCTCAGTAAGTTAAATCGAGTAAAATTTTATTAAATAACAAAGTCCACTAATTTCTAAATGATGAAATAAATTGCTTTCGGCCATGGTCATAACTTATGTAACTACAATGTGATTAATTCTTCTGAAATTATGAGTTAATAGCTAAACAATCTGACCTATTGTTCTCACAAGTATGAGGTACAAAACAGAAAATTAAGCTCTTGCTACTTTAGACCTCTCTCGGACTCACGCTAAATGTTTTAATTAAATATTTGAATTTAACATAATATTTTTCTGTTATCTAGAATGCCGGCTTTGTCGTCATCAGTAATCTGACTCTATTCACACGACCATGCAAAAGCAACAACAGAGGAGGAATTCATGTCCAGTATGAGACTCAAGGATTTAGCACTTTTGGTGCTGGTGGCCAAGGTAATTCAGAATGCTTATTTTAATATTAAATGTTGTATACTAAAATTTTATTGTGTGCTAATCTTTTTAAGTCTCTCCCTAATTTGTATAATTGCTACAAATACCTTTTATTTATGATCAAAATAATATATGTGGTTACATTATAATCGTTTATAATTGTGTTTATTTTTCGTAATAACTTTAACTATTTACAAATATTGTGCTTTTTATGTTAAATATTTATTTGCAAATTTCCTTATAAATTTGATTTTTATTCCAGTTCTTGGAAGAAAAATTAATGTCTAGAATATGCAAATCTTTCTGTTTCGGTATTAGAAAAGTCTTGGTCCGTTAGTTCTCATTTTCCTATCAAATTTCTTCATGAAATGTAACATTTATTAATTGTCATGGGCAATTTCCGTAAGATATAAATAGTTTTTAATTAATAAATGAATAAGATGATTTCTGTTTAAAAATAAAACTTTAAGAGTCTAATTATTTATAAGCGTTAAATAATTCAGATAACTTTGTAGGGTCATTAGGATTTTTTTGTGAAGCAGGAGTCATGAAAAATGAACACTGCCCTCGCCGGGACTCGAACCTCTCGAATACGTGCCGAGTGTTCTGACCATTACACCACGAAGGCATGCTAAGAAGGCGAAAGAAATGCCTTATGTATCATCAAATAAGTATCAAAATAAAATCGCACTCCGTTAAAAGAAAAAAAAATTCAACACCCCCCCCCAAAAAAATAGCAATCGAAAATTAGAATAATAATGACTTTCGGCAGTTTTGATATAAATGGCATCTAGGCATCTATATGATATGCATGTAATTATATTTAACAATAAAGATTTTAATTCTCCCGTATATTAATGATAAAATTATTTCAGTGCGTTAGAAATTTTGAGACATAATGAAGAAACTTGATTTTAATGGTGTATTAATTTGGAAATGGAATTAAAAGTATTCCTTTCGTATACTCTCGTAGCGTATTGACTATCACATTTGGCTGCTAAGTGGAATATTTGGTTCGATTTCCGGCTTGGCCATGGTTGATTTTGCAGGATTCCTACTCTCTACAAAGCCTAATTACACTACAGTGTGGCACCCCAATTAAAATTCGATTGGATAATAACATATTCTTACTTTTTTTGGACCAACTTGTAGTGACTGAAATGAAAGGATTTAAAGACAAGATATTCTTGCCATTTATCCTTATGATTTAATGAGCAGCATATACAGCTAGCCACTGGAAAACCTTGGTTCGATTCCCGACAAAAGAATGGTTAATTTGAAGATTTCTGATCACAGAAAAAGAACCTAATGACTCTACAACGTAAAGGAGTGCTGGCATGATATCATGTGGCTTTAATGAAGAATTAATCATCAATATCTGCTTAAAATTGTTAATGTGTTATTTCTTTTCCGTTTATCTTTTTCCAGTTTTGTTTTTTGCAACAGAAAATATTGCGCGAAAACATGACTTAAATCTGTGCATCATTTGTATTTTAAAGACGTTATTTTTTATTTCTTAAAGAATGCATATTAAATATTTTAAAATGTAAAGTATTAAACTGCTCAGATTTGTTTGAAAATAAAAATCATATTTGTGAAATAAATTACAGTTTTCTTAAAAATATATTTTTAGGTATTTAGAAATGCATGAATGCAAAGATTGAATGAAATTCTAGACTTTGACGTTCTTTGACTAGCATAAACTAAATATGGAACGAATTACCGCTTGGTCTGAAATTAACTGCAAAGTCTTGAAAAGGTTTTAAAATAACTTTTTTTATTAAAAAAGAACTTGGATATAAACGTACTTCTCGTGCTTGACAAGATCAACCACCACTTGTTGTGATGCAACTGAAAATAACAGTCAAATTCAAATTTAAAACTTAACCTAGTAATCAAAGACTACAGAATTTAACTTAAACTAAGTTGGCTTAGAACTTCTGACAGGCGTAACAGTTTAAATGACCGCAGCTATAACGCAAAGCCGAATAATTACGGTCTTATCAGAGCTGGAGAAACCTGGTAACGTAGCTTGTCTCTCGAGAATCCAAGAATAGCTTAAATACTCTCTACATTTATATTTCTCGTGAGAAAACAGAAAAGGCGAAGTTATTTAGAAAAGGCTGAAATTATAAATAATTGGTTAATTTAAATAACAATAACAGTACAAAGTTATTAAAGTTCTAGTGTTTGAATATTTTCTGTAATATTTTTGCATTACAAGTGTGCTCCGCTTTACGAAACCAGAGCTTCTTGTGAAACCTTTCATAAACCAAAATAGTGTAAAATGAAGAAGCAATTCTTATTACTTTATTTGGAAAAGGCCGCTGCCAGATTTGCCCAAGAAGTTTATCAGATCCTAGCATAGATCTCTTAAAATCTAAATAACGCTAAAAGAGCATACAGTCTCACCTTCCGAAATTGAAAAAATTGGCCAACTCATTAGAAAACCTATAAAGAGTAGTAGTGATAATGATGCGTTGAGCCCTCTGAGTTTGAGTATTTGTAGGTACGAAGCTTGAAATTTTATCGTTATCTATGAGATTATGGTGGTTTTCTTTAAAAGTATTCTTGGCTGCTGAGACAGGCCTTTTTTTTTCTTCTGTCGTAAAGCTAATTCTTTGCAGATAATCAAACGATCTTTCACAAAATTTAAATTCATTATTGTATTATAATTATTATTCATATTTTTATAAAATTACGGCATAAAACTGATGCTGAACCATACTTTCACTCTTCAACCTTTCTTTACAAAAGCAAAAAATAGTCTTCTGATCTCTTTTGTCATCAAATAAACTACTGATTACTTCCAAAAGCTAATTTTCGTTAGCGGAAGACACTTGTAATTTGCATATTTTCAACGATAAATTTGTGATAATCTTGACTGAAGTAATTTTTTAACTAAAGTTTCTTTTAAAGCTGTGGCATTGGCTTCGACTGCAAGGAGACCTGCAGCTCCAGCAGTGGCTGATTCTAAAATGGGAATTGAAGTTACCAAATCAGTAGTCGATGTAAGAAATTACTTCCCAGAAACGTGGTTATTCGAGATGGAAATGACTGGGTGAGTTACAATTAATTAATAGGTTTATAATACTAACTATATATAATTAATAGAAATACAGAAGATTAGTGCATTCATATAATTAATAGGAATACAGAAGATTTGTGAATTTATATCATTAACAGGAATACATAAAATTAGTTAATTTATATAATTAATAGGAATACAGAAGATCATTGAAACAAATGGCAGCCATTTCAGAATAAAATTTTAATAGTAAATGTACGTATTTAGTTTTAAATCCTCTACCAGCGGCCGAGTGTTCTAAATACTGGGAGTCTGACCGGGTTCAATTCCAGAAGAAATGGCTGGCTGCGTGATTGGTTTGGGATTTTCCTCATGTATGACGTGCCTGTACGAGCCAGTTTCTCTCGGAACGTCCTCCAGGAAGGCAGCCCTCGTATGCTTTGCCATATTCAAATAACCTAACCAAATTTAGTCTTAACTATGTATCTGAAATCTCATTTAACCGACGGATATTTTCAAAGAAATTTGTTTAACGACACTTTCATTGCCTTTGGCTTTGGAACATTTGAATATGAAACACCTTATGTTATTGTAACTGAAAATAGCACTATTAAACATTACAAAAGTTGTCTAAAGGTTATAAGGTAATATCATTATTTGCTGTCAGTAATTCGAAGTAAAATAATTGATTTTATGTAATCAAAGAATACTGAAGAAATCTTAATAATTAATAAATATAATTGAAAATAACTGAAACTGATTTATTCAAACCATTCATTATAAAATAGAGAATTGGGTGTTAGGTTATTATCATTTATCCTTCCTTATTTTAATTTTTAAGAAGCAAACTTGAATATATGATATATCAAATATATTAAATGATGCGATACTTTGTAAATGAAATTTTTAATAATTTGATCATTTTTATCGCCATTTCTGTATCATGATCACTGATAAAATTACTTTTCCTATATTTTAAAACTGTATTTTCGCAGACCTGATGGGGAATACTTAGACAAACAGAAATTACCACACACGATTACGGAATGGATTGGCAATGCTGTGTGCATCAATGAAGAGGAAGGTTTAGGCATATCCAACACGAAGTCTATCAAAGCTTTCCAAGCTTTCTTCCTGTCATTTACACTCCCGTATTCGGTAATCAGAGGAGAAAAGTTCTGGATAACAATTTCTGTCTTCAATTATGTACAAGATGCCTTGCCTGTAAGTATCTTTTTTGTACTAACTATAACAAACATTGCTCTTTCATATTGTAAAGTATACCAGACTCTCGTATTATAAACAAAATAGTTTTTAATCAAATGGCTGAGCACTTTCAGTATTCGTCGAGAATGCCCGAAGCCGTTGATCACTTAGCCGTTTCATCTATAATAAATATTGTTGCCCAGAGTGCATCACTGGGGGCGCCTAATATTACGCCGGTGAAAAGGGGAAGAAAATTCCCACGTAAGTTTTAGACCCACACCCTGGGTTTTGAATAGCCAGTTCAGCTTCCACTATTATGCTGACTACTAGATCCTCCCAGGGCGACTTCAGAATTTTTTTATTTCTTTTAGCATTTGATTTGTCAAATATCTAATTCTTCCATTTTTTTTTTCTGTGAACAACATTTCAGTCTCTATTTTTGTTCCTTACAAACCCATGTTGTGCTTAAATTTCTGGGTCTAACATTAAGATCGTGTCTTGAATTTTTGAGTAATGGCATTTATGTCAAATAGAAATCTGATTTAGAAACGGTCAATTTCTATACACAGTACAGTTTAAGGGAGCTTTTGTAGCCGCCACATGCTCCACCATGTTTCGCTTCACCAATATTTACGTAATGTGTTAGAATAATAAACCCGCATTTTTATCAAAGTAATGGCAATTGACATTACAAATTTAAGAACATCAAAATGCTATTTTAAATGCAATTTTCCTTAAAGGATTTATGTCCTTAAGTTTTTGTGGCCTGAAATGTAGTGCAAATTAATGCGAGTTCTGAAAGTTTCCATGCAAATCAAGCTCATCGAATTTTAGACATATTGCAATATTTTCGTCTAATCCTTGAAATGGTTCTGCAATAGTATCGATAATTCTTTATAATGGTTCCATCACCATAATTAAGGAATGGTCAGAAATTTGGAACCTTTCCTTTAAAGAAATTTTCTTTAGTGCGAATCAGTTTAGAACTAAAAGGCAGGCGTGAATTAACTCCCCGTTGAAAATTTTTTTATAACTTTTTTCACACTAAATCAGTTTTCATAAAACAAAACGCATTTTGTTCCCTACATTGATAGAATTATTATATATTGCTAAAATTCCATAAAACACAACCATTATTCACTAGTTTTCGTAAACGATTGAGGTTGTTTGCTACAAAGTGCTGCAGAAACTTCAGCGGTATGTTTGCAAAAAGTAGGAGAAATCGCTCCTCCAATTCATTAAGAGTTTTGGGGGCGAAGCTCTTTCGCCTACTCCGGAAGAAGTAGCAGGACGTTAGGTCAGGACTTCTTACTGGTGTTCAAGGGGAGGTCATGACATCCCGACCAGCGTCCTGGAAACCTGATGTCGAACCCCATACGTACAGGACGTGCGAAATGAGTCTGGGCCACATCTTGCATAACGATTATGGCGCTATAATTGTCCCACGTGAATACACTATTGTGAACATAATTGTGCAGCACAGCAAGGTACCGTTCTGCATTCATTGCACCCCGAATGACGTATGGCCCCTCAATTTTCGTGGATGTCATGCCGCACCATAATGTGACTTTTGGGCAATGCTGACTTTTTTCCCTGAGGACTTCGAGAGAACGTTTCCTGAAAGACTTGCACAGTTCCTTATGGTATTTGGACCAAGGCACGAGGTCTTTCACACTTCGCCACCATTTCTGTATTTGAACTACGGACTGCCGTACGTACTACCAGGTTGCCAGCTGAGCCCGTTTACGCAATAACAGAAATTGTGCAATGGCCCGCCACAGATACCTGCAGTGATATAAATGAGAATATAGTAAATATAGTAAATTCTACTACTGTAAGGAACAAAATACTTTTTATTTCATGAAAATTGGCTAAATATTACAAAAACTTATAAAGAGTTTTCAGCAGGGAGTTATCCCTCGCCTACCTTATTTAATGAATTCTCTTATTTCTGAACCACTCAGAGCTCCAAATACTTTTATCTTCTTGAAAGGCGGCCGCCTTAAAAAGGTCATATGCAATACATTTTTTCATGCGCTTGGGAAATATTGGTCACTGTAATAGGTGGTCATCTTAGGAAAATATCACCTAGAGATGATTTACTGCGTATACGAGGTGTGCTGACATATAAAACGAAATTACCATTTCCATCGACCTTTTTCTTCTCAGAGGATAAATTATATGATTTCCCAAGCGATTATTTAAAACGAAATATAGGAAAGGTTGGAAGAATATTAAATGATTTGCAAATGAGATCTCAGAATACGATGTTTAAGCACAATGTTCTTGGTACTAATGTGTAACGTGAATATGAGCCAGTTTATAAATTCATCCACAAAATCGTATTTCTGTTAGGCAGATAAACTTGGAGTGCTTTGCCTATAATTAAAATTATCCTAATATGTTATCAATACTATTTGTGCTTGAAATTTAATGAATGTCAGATCATCCAGCTCACACTTCTTGGTGTGTCTGAGTGATAATGTGTATTCGCACCGGCGACTCTGCTTGGAGTGGTGTGATGTGACTTTTCAAATCTTTCTGTGGGCTTTACAATCAAGCGTCTCCTGACTAAAATGGAAAGTAAGAATATGGACTAGACGTGTAGTGTGGCCTTAGAGAAGACCCACGGATTCTGTACTAATCTTACTTTGCTTCATCAAATTGAGAATCAGTATAGAAATTAAGAGTAAAACAAATGGTACATTCAAAGTAATCTGCTTTAGAAATTATGTATACGTAAAGATCGTAGTTTGTAGTCCAAAAACCGGATGATATGAAACTACGCAAGTAACACTAGTTTAATTTTATCTGTAAAAAAGTACAACTGAAAGACAGCATAATTTTAACCATACTTTTAAAAAGAAATTTCGTAAAGAAAGCATACATAATGGGATTTTATTTACATTTACATACCCTCATATACCGTCATATGCATTTACTTTTTATGCACTATCTGTTACGTTTCCATTAAATTTCATTTCAAGACGGGTGTTTTTATTATGCACATTTAATTCTCGCACCGATATCATTATAAAGAAAGCGATTCTACTTGTAAGTGTGCAGAATCGGCGCTAGGATTTTTACCGGCAGGGCCAATATCTGTAGCTTCGAATCTCTGCTTCCCGGTGCCTCCAAAATTTTTTTGCTCCTCAGCGCAGCTGCACTGATCTATTCTGATTGACGCCGACCTCATTATTTGTTTCTTATTTCTTGCAGGTAACCGTTTCTTTGGATAAGAGTGATGATTATGTTGTAATTAGTGATTCAGTTGATGGTGACGTCTGTGTGCAACCAGGAGACAGTGAAAACTTAAGGCTCCAGTTAAAAGCTACCACTTTGGGAACACTTAATATCACCGTCCGAGCACAGACAGCTGAATCTAGTGATATATGTGGCAGCTCAAGTGTATCTGATGCTGTAGCTAAGGATGGAGTTACTAATTCTCTCATAGTGCAGGTAAGCAGACTCCTTAAATAATGCAGTCTTAAACTATTATCTGTTTTTGAAATTGATTAAGAAGTACATTTTTTACCTGTGTCATCTGATAATGCTGTACAATTTTACCATAACTTTTAAAAATCAAAAATAGATCATTTAATATTCTAGACTTATTATAACTATAAGTTCATAACTTCTAAAACAACAATGTAATGAAATATAGATTGTTTTTAGCTGTAGGCAGAATCTTAATATAATAAATCGATAAATAGATATAGGGATTTAAACTTATAATAAAACGAGAATATGTAAACTTTAATAACAAGACATGTATAGCTTCACGTATATTTAGATAAGCAACTATAATCAACTATAATGCCGTGAGGTCATATGAAAGAAGATATATTGGCATTGCTTATTTTACCCCTTGCAAAAGGAAGAAAAGAATGTCAAAATACATTATATAAAAAAAGAGTTTTGCTTTAGCATTAAACATTTAAAAAATTTTCATTTATAGTTATTGTTTTATCTATAAATATATTAATATAAACGGATGTGCAGTATGTCCGCTCTTCAATTTGATTGCTCTAAAATATTAAATTAGACGCTAAAACGTTTGTAGTCCTATGCAGTAAGAGTTTAATTCCTCTTGTATGTGATAAAACTGAAAAAAAGTATAAGCCTTCTTCTAGATCTAAGTTAAAATAAAGAGATGAATAACGATTACTTTAGATCAGGGGCTCTCAACCGGTGGTACGCAAGAGAAAAATAGGTTGTACGCAAAGAAACAAAACATTTTCAACTATTAAAGAGGACGGATGTCAAGCTACCTGCGCCATCTATTGATAAAATAATTAAAATAACTTGGAAGTTAATAAATGGAATAATTTCCTTCACAGCTGAGGGTAACTGGGATCGTTAACTAGAACTGAAAGACTTTTATAAATTTGAAACACCTCTAGAAAATACAATTTGTCAACGGAAGGTACTTTTTGAATAATTTTGTCTGCAGAAAAAACGGAAAATGTAATTTTTTCAGAGTGAGCTAGCGCTTTCACGTTTTAGGAGATTATAAGATTTCTGTTGGAATTCCTTTCTTTAAATTGATTAGCGATAAAATTGGACACATTTTACAGAAATTCAACTGTTTAATAGTTTTTTTCCTTTTATCAATAAAATTCGCATTTCCATTCTTAGAGACCTCATTTTTCCTGAATTCTGTTATAGTATTTAATGATTTAAAATAACTCTTAGTTTTTAAGAATCCATTTATTCTTTCAGGCTGAAGGTTGGCCAGTAGTAGACGTTGTAACCAGTTTATTCTGCCCCAAAGGTAATACATTCAATTATTTTTCATTGAACATAATTAATATTTTTCTCTTTTCTCATGTCATTGCTACGAGATTTTATATAAGCGATTTTTGGTATAAGAAAATTGGAGGAGAGTGAAAATTCATTTCATGTAATCGAAATAGGCCCTAAATAGATAAAAACTTTAGGATTATATGGATGTATGAAATCTTTTAAGATCCTGTTTCATGGTGCTGGAGGTGGGTGGTTTTTTCCGCGTGTTTAAAATGTTTGAACGCTTGGAGGCTGGAATTATGATTCTGGCTGAACATCTGTCGATTAATTTTATTTTCTTATTGATTGACAGATCCGTAACAAAATGTTGTTACGAAGCTTGTCTTAAACGGCAAAGGGAACATAACAAAATTGTAATCTGAGTAAATAAAATGCAATGATATGAGAGTTTCTTAACATATAAATATTATAGATGTGGTTCGGTTTATGTTATCAAAACCGTTTTGAAAAAGGTTAAAAAAATTAAATAGTAATCTGAAAAAAATTTAATAGAATGTTTTATAAAATGTATCTGTTATGACAGCGTTTGCTTTTGGATAAAATTTGGGAGTAGAGAATCATATCTCAATGAGATAATAAATTTTGAAAAAGATGAATTCGATTTTAAATGAGGCAAAAAGCAATTTGAAGCATAAATTTTTATTATGTCTTATGCCATTTTTATACAAAATGTAAATTAGAAAAGAAGTAAAGGTTACTCAAGAATACTTTGAAAGATATTTAAAGAAATTGCTGTGTATGGAAAAAAATAAAGATTTAAGAATAGTTCATTGTTTCGATAATTTTTTGTGCTCGAATTTAAGAATACAAAACGAAAGAAAGAGAAAAATACTCAAAAATGTAAATTCTCTTATTCTTTTTACGCAGATGGAGAAGATGGAGTATTTGTAGAATCGTATGATCTAAACTTACCTGAAAATGTTGTTCCTGATTCTGCAAGAGGATACCTTGATGTAACGGGTAAGTTTTTTTCGTTTTGCACAACACAGAATTTCTTCCAATGTTTACATACATTCAAAGTTTATCTGTGAATATAATTTTTATATATGATTGTTTTGAATTAAAGTTGCTAAGATTAGAAGTATACGTTGATATCTAAAAGAAATTTTGTAGTAAAAAATAAAATTGCCTTTTAAAATAAACTAGGATAATGGTCTGTTTTCTAATACGGTGTTTGTACTCGTGGCTTGTATAATATTAATTGATCTTTCAATCATTTTTCTTTGATTTTAACTCATTTTCTAACAAACTACTTGTTTTAAAAAGCTTATATGAAATTTCTAAGTATATGTAGAGTCAACTGACATAAACAAGATCAGAAAAATATCAGCTATTAAACACTATTATATTACAGTTTTCCTGTTTTTAGTTGTAATTTTGAGCGCATCGAATCGTTTCATACAGTGGTTGGAAGTTTCAAAAAAGTCCATCCCCACCCGTCACTGAATTTTCTATATAAGAAAGCACAGACACTATTGTGGCAGTCTTAGTTGAATTAATTAATTCTTCAGCGAAGGAACGAACATTTTTCAATACGGGAGTTTATGTCCCTCGTCTTCCCGCATATTTTTAATATATGCTTAGAGTTCTTTTACTATAAAAATTACTGAATCATATTCTTAAAATTAGAAGAAGGAAAAATAGTACGAAATTTTTGCCTGTTTTCTTTGAGGATCTCTTGGCAACATATTCAGTGATACTACAGTTGTTCTGCTACCATTTGCATATTCAGATATGCCGTTCCCGTTACGCAAAAATTCGATATTTCAAACCAACCAATAGATTATTCATCTTAGAAAATATGCAGAAATCTTGAGAAAAAGCTTAATACACTACAAAACATATACAATATGTTGAAAGTACAATATGCTGAAATATTTGCTGCAAAAATGGTATTTTATTATTATTCATCTTAGAGAACATGCACAAATTTTGAGAAAAAGTGCAGTACAATATGCTGAAATATCTGTTGCAAAAATGGTATTTTATTGCTACGTTCTAAGAAGAATTCAAGATAATCCACAATTTCATTATTGGATTATACTGTAGTTCACTCTTGTATTATGTCTTTTGATGATTTTTGAAATGGGGTAATTTTTATTTTTCAGTACTTCGCCTTTGTTAGCAATTTCTTGAACTTTTTTCCCTAAATTTATGTATAAGAACATAAGTCATCAAATTTGGAATTCTATTAATAATCAGATCATTGTGGAATTAATAAAAGTATAATAACAGTTGTTGTCTAAATATTATTTTATTGTACTCCTCATTTTCTGTATGTTTGTAGAAGAAAAATAAGAAAACAATCTACATAGTTCATATTCAGATATATTCGTTTATATTTATTCCTTCTAAAATTAAAATATATAAAATTATTAGTTTAAATACTGCAAATTAAAATTTTGAGTACAGAAATGGAAGCTATTGCAAATTTGTCCATTTTAACTTAGAACAACACAATATAAAAATTAGACTGTAAATTTAGAAGCAGTACTATGTAAATTATGAGGTACTTATTAATTATATCAACAGTCTGCTAAACCAAGAAATCTACTATAAACGAGAGCAGACTACTTGCGTTGAAACAACAGATATTGGTCTGTGTTATTTATTTTCCCCAAAGACAATGCGAGAATATTGCTAACCTAATTTGTCACTTCTTCTAAACTTTCATTCTTGGTAATGTATTACTTCAAAACAATTTTTATAAATGAAGAATTTATCTTCGATGTCTTTTGCTTATTCAGTGTCTTATATATTTCGTTAAAGACATCTTTATATTTTTTAATTAGTTTATAGTTGTTGATAGCTGATATAGCAGGGAATGGTGCCAGTGCTTTAGCGTGGGGTCAACAGGTGCTGTCCTTCGATTGCGACTTTCTGTAAGTTGAACATTTCTTCAAGATTCGATACTTCTCCAGCATTAATTATTGAACTGATCTGTGAGAATGAACTCAAAGTATATGTGAGGTTCTTGTACTTATCACGATACAATGCTTGCTGTGATGAGTGTTTGTATGGAATGCATAAGAGATCTTGTAATTGGAGGGTAATGATTTATGGGAAAAGAACTAGAGGGGGTACTGATGACGAAATGAAGTTTTCCTTCAAGTGAAAAATTTCTTCATCGGAGACGTCATAAATTTGCTGAACAATAACCAAAGTATGTAAAAGAACTAAGTACATGGATTGTACCTATAAGCAATGAATGGCTAGGTATGATGAACATGCAGTTAAAAAAATAAATCTGGGCTTATGAATGGACAACCGGTGACAGCGCCATCAGCGGCAGAGCTTGCGATGTCAGTTGCATCAGACAACAACAGCACCTCGGCACCAGAATGGTACCGTGGGCCCCAGAAAAACGTCGCTACTCTGAATAGCTAGTGTAGGGGGCCTATACCTACTCACTCTGGGTAAATAAAAGGTGGCCCCTGCACTTAACCTAAATTTGCAACCAAATTAATTATTTTGATGATATTTCTTCTATGTTCTTTCCTTTTTATAAGGAAGACTATATATTTTGGGTTTATTTGTGATGGATGATGAATGTGGAAATCTTTCATTGTTGGGCATTTGAATAGATAATGCGGACCATTTCCTAACTCACCGCAGATACAGGTATCAGTTGTTGAAATGCTTCTGTAATAAACATAGGAAAGGGACCATTACCAAATAGAATCCAATTTATTAATGGAATAGCTATAAGTCTATCTGTATCACAGTTTGGAAATATGTTGAAAGGTCTTCCTTTCCTTTTGTACGATATCCCATTCCTGTTGTCATTTTGTCATGGCTATTTATTACAGATTGGAAGTGAGAAGATTTCTTCGCTAAGGTAAGTATAGTAGGTCGCTGTTTATTGTTGCAGTGTCTTGTGCAGCTTCTTTCGCAGATCTATCTTCGTGTTCGTTTCCATCATTTCCTTCGTGACTATGAATAATATTATGAATCCATGAAATAATATTATGCTGTACTTTGCATTTACTTAATAATTGTTGAATTTTATTCACTAACAGACAAGTATGTTACGTATTTTTAAAAGCACGTATTGCTGATGTTTTAATTAGGATTTAGGAACGGGAAGACGGGCACCACACCTTTACCATTTGCTTAATTGGTTTAGCGCCGTCTCCGTACTACATTTATTGATATTAACAAAATAGATACCTAATTTGAAATGAATACATAATTTAGAACGAATACATAATTTGGAATGATACATAGTTTGGAATGTAATACAAAAATTTGGAGCATAATGTATAAAATAGCATAATAATAAATGCACAGAATTTTGAATGTAATACAAAAATTTTAAACACAATATATGACATAACTCCTAAAAATATGTACGAAATTGTGAACGTAATATGCAACGAAAAGAAATAGTAGTAATGAAGAGTAGTTTATAGTTCCAACACAGTCCATAGTTCAAAGTCTATATTCAAAATCAACATGTCAAAGATGTCTTAATTATGTTAACCGGTTGATGCTAATACCTTTTTTAACTGTAACATCTTTTATCTTGTTTGCATACAGGTAATTTTATGGGCCCATCTATGGACAACTTAGAAAACCTTGTTGTTCTTCCTACTGGATGTGGAGAGCAAAACATGGTCAAGTTCACGCCGAATTTAGTTGTTCTAGATTACCTGTCTGGGATTGGAGAACTCAACGATAAAATAAAAAACAGAGCTATTCGGAACCTAAACTTAGGTAAGATATATTTTATTTTCATTAGTTTTGCAAATCTTTTATTTTGGTCTTTTTTGTACACTGTGAACGAAGGTTTATAATGTAATAGAAGCAGAACGCATTAACTGTGTTTAAAACTTTTCATTTTAAATCTTGATTCTGGCAACAAAATCTCACTATAATTACTCAAGACTTATCTTAATTCAAACCAAAGATATGAAAGATTTAGTTCTTTAGCTATATAATTCGGACTGTAATACAATATGAACATAAAAGGTGCATAGTATAACATGCAAAATTTAATTGCAAGGTCTGATTCTTCGTCAGATTTTTTTCATAGCTTTCTTGTAATCCAATTAGACAACTTATATTAATCATGACTAACTCAATTATCTGAACATAATACTTGCTAGATCACCTGAACATCTTTTAAGAATATCTTAATCGGACGGATCTGCGTAAATAAACTTAAGACACTTAAAAATTTTTTATACCAGTTTAATAAGGGTTATATTTGCCTATGCATCAGCATGTATGAATTAATCGCTATTAAAAAATAGCCATTTGGAAAAACAAAAATACGTGAATGGGACGGAAAGTATGAGAAATTGCAGAAAAGGAGCTGATTAATAGACATAACTGACTAAACAGTAACAAAAGGAATAAACTGACATTTACGAAGATGGAAGATTTTAAGAAGCGAAGGCCACTGCAGTAATGATCTATCTTTAACAGCTTTACCATTCTAGGTGCTATGTACTTTTAGTTTACAAGTAACGATGTCATCATAAATTGACTGAATTGAAAGCTATCAAGTATATGCAGGGCCGATCCTAATGGGGGTGATCCTAATATCACTGCACAATCCATTTACCGTTTTATAGCACTTGGGCGGCCAGATTTAAGGACAGGGAAATAATTATTAAACATATTATATTTCTGTAAAAAAGAGTGACCAATTTTAATTTTCACGTGGGCGGACGACAGTCTAGGATCTGTACTGGATTCATGGTTCATATTAGAACTAGAAAAAGCATTCTGAAAAGGTAGGGGGATGATATGCTGTATCTAATTCGAAAAGCTACTGCTCTGTCTTCTTGAAAGAATATGACATGCCTTTATTTCATGTGGTATCTTGAAGGAAAGTTACACATTTACCTAAACGAACCACCACAAATGTAAGGGTTTAATTCTGTCCTTACATAAATTAAGGTTGCATTCAATTTCACAGTGCTTTTAGCATCGAAACTTGAGTAATAACTAATTTTCATTTATCTAAAACTTTCAAATACCCTCAGCGAAAATTAAAGTTTTCTTTTCCTTGATCTAAAAAAAGTGTTAATGATTGACGAGAATCAGATTTCATTATCATTCCATTTTAACCTTGATCTCGTAGTTTACTATAGTTGTATATCACTGCACAATCCATTTACCGTTTTATAGCTGTCTGTGAGTATAAATTGCTCTAAGCATAATATGACCGGAAAAGACAGCATCTAACACTAAATAATAGATGTATAAATAAATATGTACTACATTTAGCAGGTTCAGGGATTAATATGCTGGTATATGTAAGGTTCAACTTTTTTTATATATATTTGTTGCAACTTCTTATGTTGATGATGGAGACGCGATCAACCATACTGTTTCATGAACCACCCTACCGAACGAGGCGTATGTGTAGGGCATATTTATATTAACTGATAGTAATCTAAAATATTATGATAAGTTCGAGATTAGTTTTCATATAATTTCAATACATTTCTTAGATCATTAATTTTCAAATGCATTAAAACAATCATCAATAACTAAGTATATTAGATCAATTAATTCACAACTAATTACAGGAGCTCAAAGGGAAATGCAATATCGACATGCAGATGGATCTTTTAGTGCATTTGGTTACAGAGACAAAGAAGGAAGCATGTTTCTAACTGCTTTTGTTCTTCGTTCTTTTGCTCAAGCTACGAAGTATATTACCATCGATGATAACGTTATTAAACAGATGCAAACATGGATAATTTCCAAGCAACAAGCAGACGGATGTTTCCCAGATGTTGGTCGAATATTTGATTCCGGCTTGCAAGTAAGAAATTCTTTGTTCACTTTTTTATTATTATGCAAATTTTTCATTATTATTAGTTCATGCAAAGAAAACAACATTCTTACTTCATACGCTTCAATATACAATGCTTGGCATGTTTATGCAGCTATTTGATTTTTTTATTGTTGTTGAACACATCTTTTGGCATGTTTAAATCTGTGGATATGGTTTTATGTGCCTCTTTAACGTTATTAAAATAATTACCTTTGAGGTAAACCTCCATTTTAGGGAAGATGATGTACAGTATGTAAGTTCCAGCTCTGGTGAATAAGTGGAAGTAGTTGGGATCTGTGACACTTTCTTTTCTAAAAATTGCTTGAAGAGATTGAAGCAGCGTGAAGGCTCACTGCCATGCAGTAAAAGCGAATTATTCAACTGAGACTTTGGCACGCTCATTCTCTTCAGGAGTTGTCTTTATAAAATGCTGAGTTCGCTATCTGTTCATCATAAAAATATTCCTTGTGAAATATGCTTTTCTGATCAAAAAGGTCCGCAACATATTCTTTACTGAAGATTTTCGAAACAGAAGTTTCTATAGCTATTATGGATCTTCTCCAACCCAAGTAGATGACTATCATTATATCTGAAGATCATACGCAAAGTTTCATGGCTCATCTTCAATCATATTCCTGCTTTACAACAAAGTTTTATCCCATCTCTTTGCTCACTTTTCATGTCCATGGCAGCTTTGATGTTGACTGTATCAAGCAAATAATTACGTGCATAAAAAATTCAATGTGTAAGGAAATAATATTTTAGGGAAGCAGATTGAGGTACCAAATTAACATTTGTCGTCAGTCATTGTTTGACATGTTTGCTGGAATTTATTGAAAATAAATAGTCCTTAAACCTTGTAGATGCACTGTGTATTTAGAATTTGATAATTTATGCAGTAACTAACTAGAAAAATAAAAATATATTTTGTGTTAATTTAATTGCAGTCATCACCGTCAGGTATTTTTTTTTATTTATAAATCAAAATTTACTCGTTTTTTAATTTCAAAGTAAATATTTTTCAAAGTTTCTCAATTATATGGTGTCTTAGTACTTAATAATACTAGTTTCAACATTATAATGAGAAAGCTAAAAATATATTATAAGTATTGACTTTTTGTAACTCTTCAAATGTGAAGGGAAAAGCTGTTTAGTTTGTGAACTCAGCAACTAAAATCAAATTTTCAAACAAAACTTCCAAAAACATCTGCGACTGTTCTAAAAAGTTTCAGAAAAGTATTAATATGAAAAAATATGCATGTGATCGAAAATTTATTTTATTGGAACTTTTCTTTGATAGCAAACGTATTATCAGCTGCTAGATATTCATTTTCTTGTTTTAACTTATTTCCTATTCCCAGGGAGGTGTCGAAAAGGAAAAGAGTCAAGGTATCATCACAGCTTATGTCCTCGCTTCTCTTATAATATCTGGTTACAAAAATGAATCTATCATCAACCCTGCTGTCTCCTGTATTGAAGAAGATGACAGCAAACTGAGTCCATACGCAGGATTTTTATATACATATGCCGAAACTCTAGCTGGGAAAACTGAGGAGGCAAGAAAGCGCATTTCTAGACTCAGAGAAAGAGCTAACGTAACAGGTATTTAATTATGAAACCTATAGTGTGACTTACTTTAAAATAATTTACTATACTAATTTATGTTTATTTTTTTGTTTATTTATTATCTTAATTTATACTTATTATCATGAAATTTACAAAAATAGCTATTTATTAATACTTATAAATTAATTATAATGGTTTACAAATTATGACTGATTAGTAAAGTAGTTAATTTATTGTAGTAAGACAATCCAAAATTTCCGAAACTTCCAAGATGAGTTTCAGAACTTTTGGATGATTATCTGAAATATCGCGATTATCAAAGTTTTTAGTGAACATTTAATACACTCGGGAATTTTGAGCTTCTTAATATTATCTTCTAATTTCTGTAATAATTTTAGATTATTTTTCTTATGTAAATGACTTGAACTCTGCAGATTATAATTTTAGCGAAAACATACTGCAAAGAAATTGTAATACAAAGTTAAGACTGCAGCTTTTAATTATCTCTCAAGATTTCAAACCCAGCAACAGTTTTTTAGAAATTTAAAATATGAAATACTTTCATTTATCTACGCAACATGAAGTTGTTATGGCCTTATAAGCCATGCGTAGAAGCATGCATGAAATTGCTATGCATTTAAGCCAAGCATAGAACAACCATGCATTTAATTATAGAAATCTCGTTCTTAATCAGTGCTCGATGAGGAATGTCAGAAACTGAAATTATAAGTGAATGACTTTTATTAAATTATTGATGGCAGCAAGCAAAGACAGCAAGAAAAAGTAGGAGTTTATGATAAGAGCTTGGGTCAAAAGTAATTTCCATTATGCTTCCAAATTTTCCTATTAATAAAAAGTTTCGTTTCCAATTTAGATCTTATTTGCTGAAGCGTTTATATAAGAATCATATGAATTAAAATGAAACTTTTGTCTCTTCAAAGTAAATAATACTTTTCAAAGAAGAACATAAAAATAGTTTAATGACCCAGATGGGATTAAGCTCAGAATAAATAAACTGAACTTAATACAGTTTTTGATAAAATATGAATTTATAACAATTTTTACTATAAAAATTATGATATATGAAATATCATTGTATGTGTGATTCTGAGGTTTAAATTTATACTTTCAAACGGAAATTTATATTCTCATTTTTTAATCTTTTAGCTGTAATACTGCTGAGAACAACTTACAGGTCTAATATACTGCTACGAACAAGTTCACACTGAGGGTTTAAAACGATGTTAAGGAATCAGCTTATTGAGATTTTGAGAAAACTTATATAAAAACGATTTTCCAGTTTTTTTAAACTAAATTCTTTGCATATATTTCTGCACTTAATAAATTTAACGAGTAAGTAAATATTATTGAAAAAAATTTAAATGTATTAAAAGGGAGGGTAGTTATTCAGCTAAGTCACAGATAGCCTTTTTCACTGAATGCAAACCGAGTTAAAAAGGCTACCTGTAACTTACTCAGATGCTGCTGCCGAGGAAGGAGTATGATTTTTGAAGCACTTGAGAAAGTTTTGATCTCAAATTAATTAGTCCCTTTCATGGTGGCTCTTGAATTTTTTATACTTTCTACAAAAGTGTTTGGTATAGTAATGAAAATTTAATATTTTGTAGCATTTACGACATTTACTATTGATTTCAATGTGTTCAGTAATTACATATCGTTTCTTTTTCGGAGGAAATGTTTAAAATTCTACCATTTCCGTTTTGCAGATGGTGTAGAATATTACCCTAATGTAAATGGATCCCAATCGATCAACTTGGAAACGGCAGCCTACGCTGTTTTGGCTATCTTGAAATCGGGAGGAAATGCTGCTGACGCTTTGCCAATTGTCCGTTACATGACTCAGAATTTGAATCTAAGAGGAGGATTTGTGTCAACCCAGGTATTATATCTTAAGCGTAGACGAAGAAATTTCTGTAAATAGTGATTTAAGCTCCTGCTGAATGGAATAACATAATTATATGTTTATATTACTTATATAAGCGCTCGTTTGGTGATATCTTTTATAGATGCTTAAAAAAGAACATAACACGTTGCTAGTAATTTTTCTATAAATTGTTATTCATAACATGAAACTTAAATTATGCTAGAAATAAGAAATGTGCTAAACATTCGAACCGGACTCCATAAGTTTGTTAGAGATATTATTATATGTTTAATTCACTGTTAACACACCTGTAGGATAAAAAGAATCATTCTTAAATGCAAGTAAATATTTGATTATAGAATATTATATAGTAAGGTAATATGTTAATCTGTAAGCGCTGATTAAACAGTTATTGTGTTAAACTAAACAGCGTCGATTAAATAGTATTGTGTTAAACTAAAGAAAACAGCCGAATCGATTTTGCGGATTTTAGACAAAGTTCCAATATCCGATAATTTCGAGTAAAATGAAAATCAGCATTTTGAAAGGAAACACCAGTTGCATTATGATGCATAAATTACCAGTTTAATTCATATAATTTCAATCGATACGCTTGAAGAATTTATTTTTTGGTTTATGGAATGAAAGTCAAATGTTTTATAAAAAGCAAAACCTTTTAATATATTTGAATTGGTATATGAAGAACTGCAAAACGATTATTTAAAAAGAATGAACTGATTTCATTGAGCTTTAGCTTATTAAGAAAAAGAACTGAAAACATATAATCAGACAAAAAATGCTTTGCTGTGTAAGGTATTTTCTCCCTCCTTTCCGCATGCCTTTGTGATTTAATTGGAAGCATATTCGACGCGTATTCGGGAGGCCCACAGTTCGAATCCCGGGGAGAGTATTGCTCATTTTTCACGTGCATCAAAAAACCTAATGACACTACAGCTTATAATGAAGCTTTATTTCATGTCATACAGATGTTTCAGGCTCACGGCTAGCTTGAATCATGAGCTCTCTGGCTTTGCTAAGATGCCTTCTGGAATTTCAGCATTTTTCCCCTCTATTCAGAATTTGTTCTTTTTCTCAGACGTTTATGTCTTGAAATTTCCAAACCCACCGCCGAGTGCTTGCGAACTTAGTAAAGCGGTACTTTTTGCTGAGGCATCGCTATTCCGAATGTAAAAAAAGCAGTTGAACATTGAGAAGTGAACAACAATGCATCCAGAATGCCCTACTTACACCTCTTCAAAACTTAGAAAACCTACTATTTCAAATGAATTTTCAGATGGTCAATGCTTGATTCCGTGACTTAGAAATTGGTTCATTCCTTGTAAAAATCTCTATGTATCATTAATATCCTTAATAAAGGTATGGGGTTAGCCATTTTGGCTCGTAAGATACTTAGTTCAGCTTTCTTCTACGAAGACAATATGCAAAATTAAGAATATAAAAACAGTTGTAGATAGAAACTAGTTTTAGAACTTAATTTTTTTATTAAAATTCACATATCCTAGATAGCAGTACTTGTTTGATTACAAGATCAGAATATATTGTTATATTGCTTTCACTCTCAGACATAATATTGTTCTATAATAAATAGGATACTTGCGTTGGATTGGAAGCTCTCTCAGAAATCGCTAAACTCATCTTTAAAGATACACTCGATATTACGTTGACTGTTACGGGTGGATTGGAAAAGACTATCAAGCTAACAGAGGAAGACAAGCTGGTAGTAAAGAGGAACCGGATTTCTGAAGTACCATCTGAAGTGAAGGTAGAAGCCACTGGATCAGGTTGCGCCCTAATTCAGGTATAGGATATGTGCAGCATATATATAACTACTAAATGAAACAAAATTTTCTCATAATAATATATAATTATGTTTAAATATTGATGAACTTTATTGAAACCATGAACAAAAAATATTAACATTTAAAATATTTTATTTATTTATCGGTGTATTACTTAGTTAATATTTTATTCAGCAAGTGATGGATTCATCGTGTTCTGATCAAGCTATATATAGTCATCTTAGTTTTAAAACGTTTTTAGTGACAATTAGATATCTCAATAGATTTTTATATATAAAAAAGGCCATCAAGGAACCAAAAACTATTAACCATTAAAAAACTCTACAAAAAGAATTACAGCATTGTTTCTAGAACAAAACGTAAATGAACTGTTATTAGATATTTGTTTTGACCTTCAGTATAATATCAGACATCAATAAAGCTTCTAATTTTTTTACCATGAAATATGTCCTATAACTAATATTATTTACCGACTTTTAATTCTTTATGTTTAAATATTTTAACTTAAATATCACATTTAACCTAAAATTTACTTAATCCTTCAAGAATGTCATATTTTAAACATCATTTTCGTACTCTTTAGTATTATAGTTTTCTCAAGTAGGAAAAATATACTTTTAGAAACATTTTGTAATCATTTAATAAGTACATTTAATAAGTACTTTAAGTGTTGCTGTTATGATAAGAGGGTTTACACTGATGGTTTCAAGTCCTGTAGAAATAATTCTTTATGCAGAGAAGATGGTGCTTCACAGAATACCTGAGATGTATCTTTAATTCTGTAAATTCTCCTAGCTAAACTCTTCACGACTGTCCATTAAAATTTATTCTATTGTAACTTGCAATAAATAAAAATAGTACTTTGAATAAAATAGCTTTGAATAAAAATGCAGCATAAGTCAAGACAGCAATAATACTATGTAAATGCACTCGTGTGTAAAATTACGAAAATTGTCCCATTATATCAAATTTCTAGAAAACTAAAGGATTTTAATTAATTTTTTTATGAATATACATTTATATAAAAAAATAGATGTACCATTCAGAAGTTCTTTTATGTATGCGCGATTATCTGTAAAGCCCACAGCGCAGGAATGTCCAAAATCCACACTATGATATCAAACTGAAGAATGAGTCTAATATAAGATTTGGCCCCCTCTCACAAGATTTGGTGAAATTCCATCCCAAGAGCGTTCCAGACGTGCTGCATAGGGTTAAGGTCAGAAGATCTGGCTGGCCATCCATGCAGCGAATATCCTCGTTTTTCAGGTAATCGTCAAACAGCTGAGCTCTGTGTGGACGAGCATTGACGTCCTTTAACTGCGCCTCTGAAAAGTCAAGCACAAGGCTTCAAGATCTTCTCACTATACCTCATAGCGGTGAGGAAGTCTGTGTCAAACACATTCAGGGGTGTGCGGCAGTCCAACAAAACGCCTCCCAAAACCATTCCACCTCCACACTGTAATGGCCCTTTTCCCTGAGGATGGTGGGGTGGTATCGGATTTCAGGCTCTCTCCAGAGACAGATATTCCGAGAATCAGTGTCAAATCTGAATCTCGACTCATCTGTAAAAATCACGGTGCTCCACTTAAGTTTGGTCCAACGCGCATGTTACCTGCACTATGCTAAACTCTCTTGTATGCAGTCAGGAAGTGGACTGCAAACAGAGGGTCTTCTGTCCTCTGTCATGAAGCTTCCAGGTGATTGTAAACGTGAAACGCGGGTTCCAGTAGCAGCAAACAGTTCGCATAAGAGCTGTGAAACTGTAGCTGTCCTGCATCGCCGTGCTGAAAATGCGAAAGAACGATCCTCATTCGTGATTATGGATCTTGGTCGGCCTTATCCAGGATCTAGATATGGATCTAGTGCCCTGAAGCTGTTTTCACAAATTGAAAACCTACACTGGATGTTACATTGAGCTCTGCAATCACTTGCGCTTGTCTATAGCCTGTCTCCAATCTACCGCCAATTCTCTGTATCATTCCGCCTCCATATGTTGGTAGCTGCTCATTTTACGTGATACCTTATAAAATTTAACCAACTCTTGGGAGAAACATGTCGACTTTCGTGAAGAAATACGAGCTCACAAAATTGCCGAAAACCCTTCGTGCGCTTATATCCGCTGCACAATCACGAATCCTCAGACATGCACATATACGCTTGCGTATTCCACTCTGAGCATTTCCTAATTCTTCAGTGGCATAATTACTACCTTTGATTTAATATATTTCGTAGAAATGGACATAATTTGCAAATTCTCTTAATTTTACTGACGAGTGTACAAAAAACAATACTGTGTATTGCAGGTGTTCAAATTAAGAGCAAACTTTGTTATAAATTGCCAAAATGAATTTTAAAATATCATAAATCATTTCTTTTTTCAGAAAACACTCCTTTATAATACCAAAACTCCACCTACAAAGAACTTATTTTACCTCGAAGTCGTCGGTAATTGTCTAGATGGCGATTGCAAACAAGGTGAAATTACTGTGATAGTCAGGTAAGAATAAAAAATTCATAAAAATATTAATTTTATTAAAACTTTTTTTTATTCATAAAAATATTAATCTTATAAAAATATTTTCGTGTTCATAAAAATATTAATATTGTTGCGTTCTTCTTCTGACACCAGTTGTTACGTTATTTTCTTCCTTCACGTTCGTACAGGGTTCGTGAGGATTTGGAGTGAATAAGGACAATACTACTTGATGAAGTATCGAAACAAATTTTATTGGCCAGTATTGTCAGGACAGCTATAAAACACGTTTTTACATTCGTCGATGAACTACTATAATCACGCTGACACGATCAGCGACACAGCCTCCAGGTTATCAAGCTATCACGGTGGAGACAGCTTCACGGCGAAGCACTAGAGTACAGCTCCCGACTCTGCTCGGTCGTTCATGGAACTCCACGTACTCTCGAGACTCTCCACGCTACAACTCGCGGTGCACTCGACGACACACAGAGCACAGCTCCTGACTATTCGGTTCAGTCGTTCCCGGAGCTCAACACGCTCTCGCGACGATACACTACGAGACTTTCGGTGCACTCAACAACGCACTCGGCACTCGCTGCCCGGCTGTCAAATCGATCGACTCCGCAGGGATTGACTCGCCAGACGAGACACCAACTCGATACTAACTCTCCGCGTACCAGCAGGGTTTATATAGCTTTTCGCTGGTGTTCGAGAACATTCTGGGCTAACTCGGTAAGAATTCGTTCCAGAAGTTTCTCCATCGTCCATGTCATATCGTCAATTTTGTCACCAAATGGGCGATTTCTCGCCAAATGTGGCAACCCTGCCTTCCGTTGCCATTTTATGGCAACCCTAAACCTACTTTGTGGGGAGGCCATCTCATTGCGCCTGGACATTTCGTAACAATATTATTAAAATTTTTTTGTATTCATAAAAATATTAATCTTATTAACAACAATTTTCGTATTCATAAAAATATTAATGTTACTAAAAATATTTTTCGTTTTCTTAAAAATATTAATTTTTTTTAAATAAGAAATATAACGAAAATAATAATGCAGCTGCTTTTTAAAAAATAAAAATGCGTAAATTGTTATGCGAAACTTTTTCTATTACTGATTATTTTGTATATATTTTATGTTATTTTTTGGGTTATTCATTTATTTTTTGGTTTTTTTATAGTTACATCCCAGCTGGAGAAAGTTCCGGCATGTCCTTAGTTGAAGTAAAGATGATCTCTGGCATGGTTCCTGTAAAGGAAAGTCTTGATAAGGTAAATAAACTCAAATTCAGGCTCTAATGCTTCTTAATAATTTACTAGATTTTTCATATAATATTCAGAAATTCAGAAGTCAGGAGCTTTATCCTTTTTTAAGAATAAAATGCTTTTTTATAATATTTAAGTATTACAAATAAAAAATATATTACTTGCAATGAATTGTATCTTATAATCCAATAATTCTATAAAAAATTAAATTTTTAATAATGACATTTCATTATAACTGTAAAAGATGCTTGTTGGGCTTTTCGGTCTATTCTTGTTCCATCAGTATTATATGTTTTTGAAAGAAATAATAATATTATTGTATCCGTAATTTTGCAGTATAATTCGAAGTTGTTTATAATTGCTTGAATCAGAGAGGGAGACTATTAAAGCTAAAATTTTTCGTTACTGAATATAATGCCCAAAAATATGTCTCTTTAGTGCAAGTAGATATTGTAGAAACAGAAATTAGAGAAACAGTTTTCGTTTATATATGTGATTGGATCATTCCCGTTTCACATAGCTGCTGGCGGAAATTTAAATACAGTTTTTGATTTGTTACATTTTGCTATAGTCTGAGAAAGTAAGAGTTAGGTTGATCAAGATCACAGAGGTAGACCATCGTTGACTGGCAGCGTTATCTGCAGATATTTCACAACAACATGGTACCATGCTGGAGGGAGCGAAATCTCAAAGAGACTTTACATTTGTGCGAGATGATGCGACTTGTCATATACAATCCTATAAAGCAGTGTTTGTCAAGTCGAATTGGTCCCAAGCCACTTGTTATTCTTTCATACTCTGCTGCCTGGTCTTCCCATTCAACGGTATTTATCAACGGGCTTGACGTTTTGGTTGTGGGCTCGTTTGAAGTTTCGAGAAGTACACCCTAGCATTCTAAAAGATTGTCCGTTGTTATGTGCAGTTTTTAGCGAACTGACACAAGTCAGGAGGTAGCGCATTTAATTTATTTAAAATTTTAATTCTAGGATGTATGTAAATAATTTATAAAATATTGTTCTAATCGAAAAAAGGAGGAAAAAAGTATAAAACACACACACAACCCCCCCACACACACACAGATGATGCATGAAATCTATTAAGTTCTTTTTCGTTATTTAAAGTTTATATTTCTATTACATTGAAGTGACAAAAGTCATGCGATAGCAATATGCAAATATACAGATGGCAGTAGTATCGCGTAGAAAATGTATAAATGCGAAGTGCTTTGGCAGGGCTTTCATTTGTGTTCAAGTTATTCATGTGAAGAGGCCTTGACGTCATTATGGCCGCACGACGAGAATTAACAGACTTTGAAACCGGAATGGTAGTTGGAGCTAGGCGCATGGGTCATTCCATTTCGGAAATCGTAGGGAATTTAACATTCCGAGATCCACAGTGTCAAGAGTGTGCCGAGAGTATCTAATTTCAGGCATAACGTCCCACCATTACTGCACTTAACGACCGAGATCAGCGACGTCTGCGTAGAGTTGTCAATGTTCACAGACAAGCAACACTGCGTCAAATAACCGCAGAAATCAATGTGGGACGTACGAGGGACGTGTCCGATAGGACAGTGCGGCGAAATTTGTCTTCCTTGGGCTATGCCAGCAGAAGACCGACTCGAGTGCCTTTACTGACAGCACGACATCGCCTGCAGCGACTCTCGTGGGCTCGTGAGCATATCGGTTGGTCCCTAAACGAATGGAAAACCGTGGCTTGTTCAGATGAGTCACGATTTCAGTTGGTAAGAGCTGATAGTAGGGTTCGAGTGTGGCGCAGACCCCTCGAAGCCATGGACCCAAGTTGTCAACAAGGCACTGTTCAAGCTGGTGGCGGTTTCATAATGGTCTGGGCTGTTTACATGGCATGGACTCGGTCCTCTGGTGAACCGATCATTGACTGGAAATGGATACCTTCAGCTACTTGGAGATCACTTATCGCCATTCATGGACTCAAACTCAAACAACAATGGGATTTTTATGGATGACAATGCGCCATGTCACCGGGCCACAATTGTTCGCGATTGGTTAGAAGAACATTCTAGACAATTCCAGCGAATGATCTGGCCACCTAGATCGCCCGACATGAATTCCATCGAACATTTATGGGACATCATCGAGAGGTCAGTTCGTGCCCAAAACCCTGCACCGTCAACACTTTCACAATTATGGACGTCTATAGAGGCAGCATGGCTCAATATTCCTGCAGGGGACTTCCAACGACTTTATGAGTCCATGCCATGTCGAGTTGCTGCACTTCGCCGGGCAAAAGAAGGAACGACAAAATATTAGGAGGTATCCCATGACTTTTGTCACTTCAGTGTAAAGTTCTCATGGAATTTTTCCTCTTGCGATAGAGGGTGAAATTCCAGTGTCCAGCAAACAGCATTGTTGTTATCTCTCTTGGCCGATGGTGGCCGTTTCTAGCAGGTTCCTCTCAAGTTAGGTTGCGGCTAATCCAGCTCCCAGTCATTGAATTTCTTCGCAGAGAAATATGAATGCTCTTGGCAGATCTAAACAAAATTTCTCAGAGCTTTAAAAAAAACCGAGAGAAGGTTTCTATTTTTCCACTGCAAAACTAACTCATCAACTTGCTGTTTTTTTTTTCCTGGAACTCTGCTCTCTGTTTTTGTTCAAGTTGTTCTGAGCATGTTGGGATGACTTTCTGAATTCTTATTTGCCTGAAATTTCTTAGAGCGTCTCTCAATTAGCGAGAGCACCCTGATTGAACGCGGATATCATGACAACAGGCCAGGGAAATCTCCGTGAGAATTTACCGGTTCCGACTCGGGAGTAAACCCGGGTGGTCTGTGCAAATGCATAACAAAAACGCCTATAAATGAATGCAAGAGGACGAAAAAAGTTGCTCCTTTGGACAACTGTGAAGGAGACAAAGACTTGAGAATGGTACTTGAACTGCAGGTCACGTTCAGTTTTCCCGAGAATTTCTAAGTGGTCATTAGGAAATATTCTTTTTCCGAGAACTTCCGAGGTGGTCGTCAGAAAATAGCTGAATACGTTACAGCTGGTAACAAAGACTTGAGAATGGCACATGACTGCAGGTCACTTTCAGTTATTTCGAGATTTCTAATGAACCGTTAAGAAATATTCTTTTATCTGAGAACTTCCGAGGTGGTCGTCGGCTTCTTGTGAGATGTCAATATTGTAGTATTTAAAAAATCTATAATAAAATTAAGAACTAAGCACATAATGGCGATTTGTGCTGAATTCCTAGTAGTATATACTGAGATAAATTTTATTCACGCTTGCTGTGCGATTGCATAAATTAGCTCTGTGGAAAATAATACCCTACGAGCCTCTGGCTGTCGTCGGTGCGACAGAGTATGAATATCAGAGTTTTAGTGGTCACATCAAAGATTTTTGTCATGAGTAAAGGCAGCGATTTAAGCAAGTGTGATCGCGAGCAAGTTGTCGGCACTCGCAATGCCGGATGTTCGATATCAACAACAGCTGAAATACTGAGCTTGTGATGCAGCATTATGCCACGGGTATATCAATAATATTTCAGATCTAAAGAACTGGTTTGAATCATGCAAACATTTGGCCTGAAATCAGTGACCGATGAGCGAGATACTTGGAGAAGCTGTCATATCGTAACGACAGTAAGAAGCGCAAATTTTTCATTAAAATTAGGATAGATTTTAATATAGGTGTTTCGTCTAGCGTCTGCATAAGAACTGTTAATAGGCAGCTGACCCAAGTCGGTAATAAAATCGACGGCCATATCGGATTCCATTGCTGATGGAAAGACATCAGCCAAATCGCACGGCCAGTGGACGGTATCAGATTGGAATTGTATCATCTGGTCCGTTGAAACGAAATATCTACTGCTGGAGGCGGATGACAAAGTTTGTTAGCGGAGAAACCACACGAATCATTCTGTCCCTTTTGTCAGACATACGTTGCACAGGCCGGTCATAGCACTGCAACTGTCTAAGCGATCTTTACGTATTCCTGTCATCATGCTTAGTCCGTTAGGCTCTCTCATCATGCTGGATGTAATCCTGACGAACTATTTACTTTGAGCTACTGGCTTGTTATCTGCACTCCTTCATATACTTGTTGTTCCCAAAGAACAATGAGCCTCCTCATCAAGGGAATAATGCGCCACCTCATCCGTTACGCGTTATGTAGGTGTGGTTCAACGAACGCAGCAGTGAGGTTGGAATACACATCTGGTCTCCAAGGTTTCCAACAGTGAATCCTGTCGATCATATGTGGGACGAGCTGCAATAGTTTCTTCACTCTCATCACTATGCTCTGTAGCTGATTTACGGCGGAATCTGCAGAGCTGCTGAGTTGCAAAACCACCATCTCGATTTCAGGTACCTCATACAATCTCTTTCTGAGCCTATTGCTGTTGTTAAGCGACGTGGTATTGATTAACGTGTATAATAATTTGTCTTTTAAATACATGTTTTACATTAACATTTAATAATAATATATATTGCATTAGCATATATGCAACAATCAAATATATATTGCATATGTATTGAATTTATTTTCAATAAGTAAGCATTATCCTTTGTTTTAGCTTCTGAGAGATGAAGATTTAAAATTAATGAGATATGGAATAGAAAATGATGTTGTGGTATTTTACTACAGTGAGGTAAGCTTGTAGATTTTATTTGATAATTTTTTTGATTGATTATTTTTTATTTTATTTTACTTTGATTGATTTCACTTGATACTTTCAAAGTATTATGTTCTTTCCGTAATAGTTGAAAATTTTAATATAATAAAAATTGTATTTTCCTTTAAATGTGTGAAAAGTTTGGAAATTTAATTATTTTAAAGAAAGGTAATGTATATATATAAAATATATACTATAATGTATCTTAAGCTACTTACATATTATTTTCAGAATAACGGACTAGATTTCCCTATTACTTCATATTGTCACATCATTTCTAATTTAAAAAAGATATTAGTATTTAATATTATTTCTTGTATGTCCCTACGCTTTTGTTTCTTATTTTACAGTGCGCACGCATATAGTGTTGTTTAAAAAAAGGAGAAATATTTTCTAAGAAAGAAAAAATATCTTATAATAATAGTAATAAATTTTAATCTAAATTATTATCTTGTTTATACAGATATCAAATACTGGAAAACGATTCGTCTTCCAAGTAGAAGAAGCTGTCAAGGTAGACGATCGTCATCCTGGTACAGCTAAAGTGTACGATTACTACGCGAAAGGTATGAATAAGATATTCTGTATAAATATGAGTATATGAAATTTGTAAGAGTACAATATTCATAATGTTAAAAAAAGTCTGCTTGTAAAATTTTAAGCCAGTTCCTGTTTAAATGATGCATTCCTATAACGTATTTATAGGAATTCTCTTATATTAATCTACAATAGTAATATATTTTTAATCTTTTATATCATTCAGTACTGTACAGCATGTTATTTTAATTACCCTCCAATTAAAATAGGATTAAATATTTAATTCAGAATATCAGTTTAACTAGGTTTTGAATTGAGTATTTCCTGTGTTGTAATAAATAAAACTATTCCGTATACTTGTAAATGCATCTGCAACTCACAAACACCGTATCATGACAAGCTCATTATATCTTTACATATTAATTAAAGTTAATTCAATGTAAGATATTTAGTTTAAGATTGTACTTCAAAGAAAGTCTTAAAAACTGTGTACATAATCAACAACTTTTGTACGGTACCTTAATGTATATAAATTGGATGATATTTCGTTGATCTTCTGAAGATGAAAATAAAGTATAATAAATGTATACAAAAAGGAAATACAACTTAAGTGTATCAAAATAAAAATCTTTGTATAACTTATAATTAAATTATTATAGAAAGGATCTTCAGGTTTGTGCTAATGAAACTTCCATAAAGGAGAAGACCGCTATTGACGATCACTTCTTGATAGAGAATGTTTTACAAAAATGTGAAAGTAATTTCTTGTAATGTGGGACAGCAAGAGTTACAACCGAAAACATAGCGGACGAAAACGTCGCGGAGAAAACAATGCAAGGCGAAAACGTCATGATACAAAACATCATGGGAGAAAACATAGCAAAGAGAAAACATCGTGGTTCAAAATATCGTCGTCAAAAATAAAGCGGTTCAAAAACTTCGTAGTTTAAAAACATCGTCGTGAAAATATGTGGTAAAAAAAAGTACCTGCAATCCTCGCATGCGAATAACATCGCAGACATGCTTTCAGGCTAATAATTGTAAATAGATATTTCAAAATGATTTTGAGCGCAAGACGGAAAGAAGAATAATTTTTACGTTTATACATTTTTATTAATTAATAATTTTTTGCTGAAAAGTAAGAAGGAAATCCTATACTCAATCCTATTTTTATATTAATATAATATATATATAATATAATTAATATATAATTATATTATTAATATAATATTAATAAAATCAGGTAATATATAATATAGAAATAATAGTTGATAACTGTTGTTATTATAATAAGAGTTGATAATTATAACCACTATTGAATATAATCACTGATAATAATGATGTTATAATAGTATCACTTGATAATTATTAGTATATACCAAGTATAAATATTTAAATGACCTAAGTAGGAACTGACTCTAAAAAAAAAAAAAATTATATTACTTATTTGTTATGAACTGATTCTTAAGAGTCTGACTTATTAAACTTCTTTTTTTCATATCTTTTTAAATTTATCCACAGATAAAGCTAAATTTGTGTGTTTCTTAGAAATATTTGCTGTAATTTTTTGTAAAAGAAAAGGTTATCTCCTTGTTACATTTCTTCAATTCAATATGACAAGGCATACGAGGAGGGACACCTAAGAGGAGGGACGGATTCGATCAATCCAAATACACCGCTTTTCGCTTTTTCATCTCTGACTGCCACGTCGCTTGTTTTTCGCACCATCTTTTTGCCAGTCATAGGACATTTCCATCCCAGCAGCACGCAGTATTTCAGAAATTGCGCAGTTCTTGAAATGCTGCTAATCTCTGACCGAAAATCAAAAATCGTTGTACTCTGCAAAATAAGTCACTCCGGTGAATTATAATTTATAAGTGACTCAGTAAAATTTATTCCTTACAACAGATTTGCTGCTGACACACGTTTTATACCATTGATTATTTAACACTGACGTCAAACGTAGAAGGTAGTCACATTAATGTTACTCGACTCAGTGTGAAACAATAATAACGAACTGAAAATTATATAAATTACATTATATTGATTTTTGTGTCTAGCTTTAAATATGAAGCCCTTTAAGCATAAAAATGTTGGTTTAATTTCATTAATTGATTAGAAAAAGCTTGCGAGGGCGCAAATGGTCAAGAATGTAGCACCTATTTTTTTCCCTTTAAATAATATGGTAATTAGCTTTTCAATGTGTTCAAAATTGAAAGTTAACAGATAATTTATTTTTCCAAATGTATTTCAAATATTTCGCAGTTAATTTGGCATTTATCCAAGCTGTTACCTGAGCTAATGCCACACTAGCCCCATTCTTGTCGTGGCTGTGCTTTCACAATAGTTCAAATGACCATAACGATGGTCAAAAATTTCTTCTCAATAATTTACATAATAAATATTTTAAAATATTTATAAAATTCAGGGTGGAAAAACATCAGTTGAACTCAGAAAATTCTCAGTTAACTCTCCATAAACTTAGTTGTTATTATAAACAGAATCTTGCACGCATTATCCGAATTTCACCGTTTTCTTGCAAAATTTAGACTACGAAAAACTTTATACAATTTAATTCTTTAACTAAAGTTCCGTAATAATTTTATATTGATATATGAAGATGAAAATAAGTGCTTCTTTCTGACATAAGTTTAAACTTTTACTTTGAAGGTTAATGTTAAATATACTTCAATCAAATAATTTTACATTCAATTCATCAAGAAGTAGCAGTTTACGATGTGACGATTTGAGGAATCTTGAAATTTTTCTTTTTAAACAGTTATGAACACTTATTTATAATGAATAATTGTTAATAATATTAGATGGAGAAGCCTTCTTAAGGAAACCGCTAGCGGCTACCAATGATTTTAATCTTCTGTAGAGGGTCCACTTTACATGACTACTGATTATGTCCATTACTGGCGTTTAATTATGTTTAAGAATATTATTATAAAATTCTCTACAAAGAAATGATTTTAGATGAGTTTTAGTATATGCTTGTTTATTATTGCTTGATTATTAAATCGATTATTCTGATAGTTTCTATTTAACGCCCACTTTTTTCCATATCAATTAAATACACATTGAATGCAAAACATCATAACTATATACATGGGGGTCGCGATACTAAATTCCTATAAAGTTTAGAAAATATTGGTTTAGATAAGCAAAAATAAATTCACAGTTGTTTAAAATACCAAAAGTTACAAATAGACTGATATTTAATAATAATGTTTGCTATTATCTTATAGATATTATATATTTATATCTTTCTATATATATGTGTGTGTGTGTGAATCGTGTAATAAATTATTGCCTCTAATTTTAATCCGTGTCCTTTTTTATAGAAAAATCGGCGTCTACTAGTTATTCATTAGGAAACTGTGAATCAGAAAGTTGTTCTGAAGAATCATAAAAGAAGATATGAAGATAAATGCCAAGTAATCTATTAACCAGAAAAGGGACCCCATGACTTTTATTTTAAAGTGGTGGATTAAATCGGCGTTATATCAGTATTTTTTTTTTTTGTATTACGCGCACAGAACTCAATTCGTCAAAGATAAGTCAGAGCTTGCACGTATGCTTTTCCAGAACGTGCACTTTTGGTAATAAAATAACACTTTTGTAAATAAAATAATGTGTTTCGTTATATTTATTGTCGCATATTTCTTTCTGTGTTTTCCTTCATAAGGTAAAAATTATATAAACAAACTTCGTGTTCTCTCTTCGTATTTTGCAAATTGGAATTTCTTTGAGATTGGACTTTTCAGTCTTCTATAACAGACTGAGTTTTGAGTGGCAACGTGGTAAATCTGCTCTTCACCAAAAACACATCAAATACCGAACAAAATGCTGTCTGATATGTTAAGGCGGCTCATATAACCTTAAAACCTTTAAGATCTTCGAATATGTTACTGTTGCAAGAACTGGGATAACTTGTTTATTTTAAAAGCAATTACTTCCAGCTTTTTACAGCTGACTACATAATATAGCTGCTTTGGGAACTAGTAACCAGAAAGTTTGTGTGTAGCCACAAATATTTTTATAATTTAATTTGCTTTGTGACAAAATGTTTTATGCGTTCATGTCATGTTTCCACAGTTTAAAGCATTCTGTTGCATAATTTAATTCCATATTTAATGTATAGCTTTTTTAACATTTGAACACTCCTGGAACCAAAAATCCTAAGAATTTCATGTTAAATTCTTATGGATTTGGAGTTGAGTTTATGATTGTATTTTATTAAAAGAAATCTGTACTGCTTTCATGTATAAAATGTTTTAATATTAAAAAGATGGGCACATATCCTGTGCTCATATAAAGAATTCCATCAAATTTCAAGTATCTACCATCAGCCATTTTAAAATATCATGCGCGCAAGGTGGAAACTGTGAACGCATAAAATATTTTGTCACAAAGCAGATTAAATTATAAAAGTATTTGTGGCAACACAAACTTTCTGGTTACTAGTTCCCAAAGCAGCTATATTATGTAGTGAGCTGTAAAATGTTGGAAGTGATTGCCTTTAAAATAAATAAGTTATTCCAATTCTTTCAACAGTAACATATTCGAAGGTAACATATCTTAAGTAAGATATATAACAACAGTAACATATCTTAAGGGTTTTAAGGTGTACGAGCCCCCTTAAAAATGATGAAATAAAATTCTTTCCATTTTAAATTATTTCCTCTAAATAGATTGTTTAATTGTTTTTGTTTAATTGTTTACTGAAAGCATGGTCTGAAATTCTAAAGCATGAAAACATCAATCTGGCTGGCTATCTTTTACTTCTGTAATGTAGTAATGTACTAGTTTCAAACACAAAATACGTGACATATCATTTAACATTTGTGCTTAGGTTAATTAAATAATCAATAATGTTGTGACACCTGTATTAGATTTGAAGTAATTAGATGTAACCACGACTAACCTTACAGCTATGCCTGAGTTCTGTTAGCTACCACTAAATCCCGCCACGTAGTTTCTTTACGGGAGTGAATTTCAGACTGCATGTAGACAGAATACTGAATAAAATTCAAATTAAATGTAATAAGTCTCCGTTTGAGGTCTGAACATAAAAATATATTAAAATATATTGGAGATGTAAGTCTATTTGACTGAGCATTAGTTGTAGAATAAAACTGAAATATTGAGAAATTCGGTATGCAGTTTAATCTAGGAGGAACCATAAATCTTTAGCGGATAGTAACGCGTTAAAATTTCTGTTGCAGTTTACAAACATTCTCTTCAACTAAGCAAATAAAAAAAACTTCTGTTCTTTGCTCAGCTTAAATCTAATCACAAAATCTCATTCGATACTGTCTAAAAATGCAGGAATTACCCTGACATTCGCAGAATGATAAATTGCAAATATGATGTGAAATTGTAACCTTTCACAGTTAGCATGTCTATCACCTGTAAATTTGTTAATATCACAAAAATTAGCGAACATTGTTACTTTTATAATGAAAAAGGCAGAGGAATGGAAAAATCATTCTAAATTATTGGCTGATAGCCTACTTCAGTATTTCCGAAGGTGTTTAACGAGACTATTCGGATCCGAATTAATTAATGTATCGTCAAATTGCAAGATCTAGTGTATTTTGCAATCATAAAAGGCTAATTAAATCTACTTAAAGTTTGTACCTTGCGCATTCTCGCACAGGTGTGAAGATGAACACAACAAGGAAAGAATGTAAAAGGCCCTTTTATTTATCACAAACTGTTTAACAGAAGGCACGGACTTATGTGCTTACACCGGACACCGACCACTTGCAGTGAGAATTTAAAAGTTAATTTAACAATAAATTTAAAAGGTAACGCTGCAGTGCTAGACTATAAAATTCAATTTAATCGAAACAGGCTGACTCAGAATCCTACACCGACGATAAATAACTAGACGGCCAGATCACGTAGCCGCTACTAAGATGAACAGCTGGAGAACAAAATAGCAAACGTGCGCTTTCACTAGCGAAAGCACGCTCTGTTTAAGCTTTTCGTCTCAGCAGTTTAAATACTTCACCTACTTCATTTACATCCTGTTGAGGAAATAAGAGAAAAAAGCTTACAAATTAAAATAACTATTAGTTAAATAGGAGTCTACAGGATAGCAAGCTAATCTTTCCTGCTCAGTTTTAATTGCGTCGTGATTGCTTCCCTTTACGCTAGATTTTCTAAAATCCCGGAAAAACAGGAGAAAATCGCAATTACAAAGAGACAGTTACTACAGTTTTCATCGATATAGAAAAGGCTTTTAGAAAGTATGACATTATAGCCTGTTTCATAAACCTTTCATCCTGAATAATTTCCCAGGATTTGTTATACTAATTGCAAACTATTTTAATCATAGAATTTTTCAAGTACAGATAAAGGGAATTCTCTTAAGTACAAGAAGCATAAAAATAGGTTACTTCAGGTTTCACTGCTTAAGTCTATATTTTTTTCAGCATACATATCAATGTTATTCTGAAACATGAAGGACAATATATCGTTTACCCTGTTCTTCTCGCAACGTCCATGAGTCACATGGTGACATAAAATTACAAGATATTATTAATGGCATCTTACCATGGTTGGGATCACTAGAAAATTCTACCAAGAATATTTTACTCATTTTAAGCCAACGCTTTAAAATTCACTGTTCAACCCCCAGACTTTTCATGCACTAAAATTAGTGTTATTACTTTAAATGGCGCAGTAGTAGTAAAAGCCGCACAAGTAAAATACCAATGTTTTATTCTTGATGAAAAGTTAACTTTCAAAAATCATATTATTTATATGAAAGATAAGGCATATGAGATGCTTAAATTATGAATTCTTAAAATAATATTAGGAATTCTTAAAATAAATTGTGAATTATTAAATGATTTATTTCATAACTGGTTGGAATCTTTTACTTATCTTTACTTTATCTTCTTACTTTTACTTTTACTAAATTTACAAAACTATCTGCTTGCAGATGATTCGATCATTTTTACTAAATGCTTCGCTTCATTGGCAGCTGTTACTAAAAACTAAAAAACTTTTGTTTCAAGGACTGAAGAATTAAATGCAAAAAAATTCTGAATGCTCCTGAGCTTATTAGAAAAACTATCCTGCATCAGAATCTAAAAATGAAGTTTACTGACCCCAAGATTCCCGTCTTTGAGGAAAACGTTTACAGGAATTGCGAGAATCTCGTCTCTAACTTGATTAATATTATAGGAGATTACGAGTTCGAGATTGAACAATCGTTTAAATTCCTAGAACGAAGTAAGTGAAATGGTAAAAGTTTTCCTTCAAAATGGCATATTTTCGTCTTATCTGTAGGCCTCAAAAGATCCTAAGATGATACTCTAGTATAGGCAGTGTGTATTAGTTAGCAAGCTGTGATCTCCATTGGAAACGAAAGTCGCAAAATTTTTATTTGCCTCACTGGGAAAAATCCATAATGCTTAAATTGTTTCTCAGTCTTTACAAAATGTATAAAATATTTTTCTTAAATTGATTGCTTAAAGTACGTGTCGCGTAAACATAATTTCATATCTTCTTGGTTAAAACTTTAATTTAAGTTTATAGTTGTCGACAATAGCAATTTTCATATTTTATCTCAGCTTGTAACTTTAAATTTTGGAATCAGCTTTTGTTAAGCTTTTTCCTTTGCTGTAAAAGGATACGTTAGAATTTTATAAACACAATTTTATTTGTAAATACATCTTCAAAGAAAAAAATATATGTTTGGATTGCCGGAATTGTAGTTCTTAAAGAAAATGTAATAAACGCAGTAAAGTTAAAAAAATAATTAAATGAAAAGAAATAATCCTAGAGAGCTTGCTGTATATGTATTTTCCCCGATTTTCGAAGTAATATATTCATTGTTAGCAGCAGATAAATTTCAAAATATTTGATAAACTGTGGAAAATTAAAACTTCAACTTCTGGTTGCATATGTATGATACGGGGACACGCGCCGATTTCAAATATTTTTCACGCGTTGTAGTACAGTAATACCGTTCTAAACTTATTTAGTTTTTCATGATCATCATAACTTGAAAACTTTTATATGTAAAGCCTTGATTTGGTTCAAAATGGAAGGTGAAAATGTGCAAGAAAGTCAGCTGAAAAGTGAAGTAGATGGTCTTCAAGGCGATATTATTGCATTAGAGCTATCTGATGTAGCGGATAACGAAAATACTAATGTCTGTAAGAAAGATGAGGCAAAAATTTCGCAAGACGTTCAAGACAAACATGTCGAAAGTGAAAGTTTTGAGCTGCCAAGTGAAGCTCTTGCAGAAAAAATCATTCGCCAAGCTGAATTTTACTTCTCGGATTTTAATATAATTAAAAACAGTTTTCTTCTGAAGCACATTCGCCGTAATAAAGAAGGTTTTGTGAGTCTTAAGTTGGTTGCTTCTTTCCGTAAAGTTAAATCTTTAAGCAAAGACTGGAGAGTAGTTGCTTATTGCTTGGAAAAGTCTAAAATATTAGAATTAAATGAGGAAAAGACAAAAATTCGTCGCATTGAACCTATACCGAAGCTTGAGGATACCAGCTTTGGTAAAACAGTCGTTATTTTCAATCTACCTTTCCAAGATCCAAGTTCCGAAGGTCTGAAAGAACTCTTCAGTAAATTTGGAACTGTAGTTTATGCTGGCATTTTGACAACCGGTTCTGACAAGTGCAATGTCTACCACAAACGATGTTTATCTTTTCATCGAGAAATAGCATCAACGACATTTGGAGTAGTCGAATTTGATAAATATCAGGAAGCTCAAAATTCTATAAAAGATGAAGATGGTCATTTACCAAAAGAAAACAAAATGAAGGTTGTGCCTTTATTGGTGCAGATTTACAGAAGTAAGTCAAGAAATTTTAGATTTAAGACATACCCTCAACATCTAAGACGCGGATATGGAAGATATGAATCAAAAAATTTCCGGAGAGAAATTCCGATTAGCGATGACGGGAATGAAAAAAATAGATCAAGCGCTACTGAAAATATTCTCAATGAAGAATCTAATTTTAAAAAAGGATACTTTCGACGATCAAACCGATGGAAGAAAGGATTTCAGGGTTCAGGCCAAACAACTATCCAGGGTAAATTTGGATATCCTGGTGAAGGCAGAGGTCCGAATAGCAGCCTACAAGTACAAAACCGCCAACTGAAAACAAATAATAGCATGAATATTCAGAGATCAGTCATTGCAACTCGCAATCCGAAAGGGCCTGATCGTTCTACTGGATTTCTAGAAACACGAGTTGAAGTGTAAGGAAAAGAAAGAATTTCTTAAAAGGAGAAACGTTAAATGGGATATTTCTTTTAAGCACCGCATATTTAAGATGCATAGAATTTGGTCAAGAATGTTCATAAAATATGCTAAAAATTAGCGGAAGAAATGACAAGGAACTTAGCATGCATATTTACATATATAAAAGTTTTCAATATTTAGGCATTTGCGATTTCAAAATCCTTAAATTGAATTATTGCGAGACAAAGAACACCCAACATGTTTTTTTAACTAAACCATGGAATCTTCATGCAAAGTTTTGAACAAAATTCTTCAGATTCATAACAAATTGCAAGAGAAAGTAGGAGATACGTACCTTGTATTTACATGTTTGTGACTTACTGAAAAAAAAACTAAATTGTAACTCATCTAAATGAAATACATATTCGGCTAATAATAAAATGCTCGTCTGCTTCAAGAGATTTATATTTTAAAGTTTTTAAACTAAAAATTACATGTAATTAATTGTGCACTGAAGATTATATTAATTTTTAAAAAAAAACACCTTTAGTGGAATTAATGGCTCTATTTTGTGAGATTTAAAATATTTTTTAAGACAATGCATAATATTTATATGTATATATAATGCTTATACTCGTAATGCATACCAATTAAGATTTTACTTTATCAAAAATCAAAAACCAATAATTTTACTCTAATTAATATTCAAATCCAAAAATTATTGCATAATTGTTATTCATACCTAAAATACTTATTTAATATATGCTGTATTTTTAAGTTCTTGAGATTCAGATTTTTAATATTACAGATACTCAGTAACAACATACCAAGTAGTTCACATTATATAGACAGTAATGAAAAGTTTTTATGTACATACTAAATTAAACTTTATGTGTAGCATCTCAATTATTTGATAGACTCTGGGGAAAAATTTTACCAAATAAAATCTTTTAGAAAAACTGATAAAGGAAAAATCAAGGAAGTCAAATTTCTGCTTATTTGCTGAAAAACTGATACAAATACATTACGTTAGAAATTACACGTCTTTAATAATACATTTTGATAGATTTCACATGAAAAATAAATATAAGATCAAGGTTAAATATAATTTTTATTTAAATTTAAATTTAATATAATCTCTTGTACAAGTATTTTATTAATTGATTTAACATAAATATAGTAAATTAATCGATGATTTATTGCAGGCATAGGCAAACTTTTACGGTCGCGGGCCAAAAATCGAAAGAAAAAAGTTTGGCGGGTGAAGATAAATTTTTCTAAAATTTAAAAAACTATATACAAGTATTACAATTTAAATATGTTAATGAGATGAATGAAATTGCGATTTCATTTTTTAAAAGTTCCTTATATTGAGGTTCGAAGTGAGATGTACTGATTCTAAGGAACGAGGCTAAATGCTCATCTGTCACCCTACTTCTGAAATAATTCTTTCTAAGGTTTATAGTTGAAAACACTTGTTCACATATATAAGATGAAGCAAACATAGCACTGATTTTCTGGGCGGGAGCTATTAAGTTTGGGAAACGTACTTTCGATAATGATTTATAAAAATCTAACTTAGGCGTATTTAGAAACAACTTGCTTGAGATGATTGTTAGATTGCAACTTAATTAATTCAGGCTGCAAATATGACCTCACTGCTTCACAATTTACGTTGAAAGGCATGGTAAAAATATCCAGTTCAGTTTGAATGGCACTGAAATCTGCTTTCGAACTCAAATGCAGTTTTTTCAAGCCATCTTCATAATTCTTAAGCTTATCTTCATTTACTGACGGTATAGAATTTAACCTCGAGAAATGATACAAGTCGTTCTTAGCTATTTGCACAGCAAACAGATTAAGTTTTAAGTTAAGATAAAGTTTTTTTCTAAGAGGTCTAATTCACCTATATTAGATTCCTATATGTCTGCTCGAGAAAGAGATAACGCTTGTTGGCGCAAATCTACAGCTATAACTAACAAAGAACTTCCACTTTTTTAACACTTTACCGATTGAAAGCTGTCTTTGCTTGCTATTTCCATCAATTTGTGTTTTGTAGAAGAAAAATAGAGAAAGTAAAAAGATTATCAGTCCTATGGAAAAAAAGGAAGAAAAATAATAATATTTAAACAAAGTAGAAAAGGAGATGGATATATAATATATAAATATATACTTCTTTTAATTTGCCTCGAACCGGCAAATTAAAATTCTGTGCACGGGTCGGATAGAAACTTCCGGCGGGCCAAAGTTGGCCCTCGAGTTTGCCCATTCCTGAGCTAGGTCAAAATGCCATTTAATATGGCCGCAGCTCGAGATGGGAATTGTACCATACGTTTATAATAAATAATGTTATATTTGATAATATAAATAATATATAGTTGAACCTTTATTGTTTGTTTTTTGACCCATAAAAGTTGACAGACTTTATAAACAAATTGCACCAAAATACTTCACAAGAGTTTCCCATTGAGTTCAGACCCAAACTAGGAGAAGGCCAGATAATAACGCTTAGATTATTAGTTTTAATTCATGCATTTGCATTCCGATAATTTCTTTTAACTCAGAATCCGATTTTACATAAGTCATTTCATCAGTTAAATTTTGTTTTTATTCTGGTAAAATAAATCATGTAAAGTTACATTTATGTTTATTAAAGATATATACCATCATCCTGTTTGGTCTATATAAAGACTTTAGTTTGGATGTCATCTTGATGAATAGCAGAGTACAGTTCAGCGGTTCTAAGCATATGGTATGAGTACCCCTGAGCAGGCGTAATGCCTTAGTCAGAGATACGAGAAAAAATTGTCAGGTGACAGGTAACAGCAGGGCCGAACACCCGGACGGCTTTCTAAGACTACTCGGGTGTTGTTCGAACCCTGCAACTAACTATCCTTTATTATTATACTGCAATACACATTTCACACTGTATAGAGTAACTAATTATGCACAGTGACTTGCATAGAAGTTAATATCTGCATTGTTATAAATGGAAGTAGTACTATGCTTTACAGTGAGAAACAGATTTCATGTATACAGGCCGTGGCTAGAAGACTTTGTGGGTATCATTAGTGCACAAGAATGTCAGCAGATTCCAAGGCAAACATACTACTATTATTCTGGACGTCAAAGGTCCTGCCCCATTCTAGTTTCTTCATGATACTAAGCAATTTTTTAAGCAATGAGGGCTGCTTAATCAGGAAGCGTTTGAAAGCGGCTACTTCCGTTGTAGTCAACTTAATGTGCCAGTCCTTAGTCAGGGGGCACTTGGTGAGGTAGTGGTCTGGAAGTCCCGTGTCGCCACATGAAGGAAATATATATATATATATATTCGGTTAATCTTCCAGAATCGCGGTTTGGCCCTCACCGTGATTTTAATTTGGCGCCATTTTGCTTTGGTTGTGGTTTCCGGCTGTATGTTTTCCTGTGGCAAACCTAGAGCTTTATTTCGGTGATTGATTCTCTCAGAAGATTTTTTTAAATTTAATTTTGAAATACTGTGTTTGTTTATAAAAGTTTTACTGTTTAATCTTTGCAGGAGGTTAAGCTTTTGTTGGTAGGAGAATGTTGGATTTCAGATGACATGAAGTTTATAACGTATGAATGTTTTCATTTAATTTTATTTATGTAATATTTTCCGGGTCAGTTAATTATTCTTTTTTTTTTTTTTTTTTTTTTTTTTAAGTTTTGTTTCTTGCATGTGACAATCGAAAGATGTGGAATGTTTAAAGTTTTGAATGAAAGTTGTTTAGCGTGTTGAATTCCACTACGATACTAACTTCTATATTTTAGTGAGTTTATGATGCATCCGTTGTTAGTAAATTTGAATATACACCCTTAGACCAAAAAAAAAAAAAAAAAAAAAAAAAAAAAAAAGACGCACCGAGAAGATATAAAGCAAAATGGACACAAATTGATATGCATATAAGTTTCGACGGAAAATCCAAAATTTTACATTTTGGCTGCCAATGAATGAACGGTTGTCGCTATAGCGCATCTGATCTGCGCAACTGGCAGGATATTTAAGAGTAGAAATTACGATTCCAGGTCATAAATTCTTCATTCCGTATACTCTGGTAGACAGTAACTATACCTCGCATACAAGTGCGCAAACGATATGCGTAGATGTCAGAATTTGAGAGAGGTCATGTAGTTGGTCTCAAAGAAGCCGGTTTTTCTTATCGACGAATAGCTCGACATTTCAGCAGCAGGGATGCCACTATTAGACGATGTTGGCAGGAATGGAGGAACCATGGCCGCACACAGCGTCAAGAAGGAAGCGGTAGGCCTTGAGAAACGACAGAACGTGAAGACCGAGCAATCGGCAGAGCAGCACTCACAGTCCCAGGTGCATCATTATCATCGATTGTACGTGCAACTAGTACTTCAGTGACTGCAAGGACCATTTATAGACGGCTCACAGAAAGGGGGCTGAAGTCACGGCGCCTCTTGTGCCAACTACAATTGACCTCTGTACAACGTCAAGCCCGTTTGCAGTGGTGTCGGGCTCATTCGCATTGTAATGTCATTGACTGGTGTAGAATAGTGTTCAGTGATGAGTCCTGCTTTGAACTGAGCCCCGATGACCAGCGAAGACGAGTCTGGAAACACCACGGACTGCGGAATGATACCAACCTGACTGTCTTCCAGAAGACAGGCCGACAACCAGGATTGATGGTCTGGGGTGCCATTTCATTTCATAGTAGGACCCCTTTGGTTGCCATCCGTCGCAACCTTACAGCACAGCGGTATGTCGACGAAGTTCTAAGGCCCATTGAGTTGCCCTTCATGTCACGCCACCCTGGGCTTATATTTCAGCAAGATAATGCCCGCCCCCATACTGCACATGTTTCTATTGCTTGTCTTAGGGCTTGCCGAACATTACCTTGGCCAGAAAGGTCGCCGGATCTCTCTTCTATTGAGCACGTTTGGAGCATTATGGGCAGGGCCCTCCAACCAGCTCGGGATGTTAACGATCTAACGCGCCAGTTGGACAGAATTTGGCACGATACACCTCAGGAGGACATCCGCAACCTCTATCAATCGATGCGAAGCCGAATAACTGCTTGCATAAGAGCCAGAGGTAAACAAACGCGTTACTGACTTTTTCACTTTGTGAAGCTCTATCACTTTAATAAATCATCCAATTTTTCTCAAACTATAATCATTTGTTTTTCTGTACATCTACATCACTTCAACCGATTTTCGTCCCATTCGGATAAATCCTTCTTAGTGCGTCTTTTTTTTTTTTTTTTTTTTTTTTTTTTCTAAGAGTGTATTTACTTGGTTGACAATTTTGGAGTCTGAGGTAAGTGCTATATAATTTATTACTTTATTATTCATTATACTATTTTATCATGAATTACATAGATAGGACTATGTTTTTACTTGCAAAGGTGATAGACTACTCATCTAGTATTCATAATCTAATTTTACCATTCTGTTTACGGCGTTTCACTATTGCAAAACTTAAAAAAGTTACTATTCTGTTTACGTTTAAAAATCAGATC